TTTTCGAAATTTCGAAAACGAATAACTTGAAAACGAAATCATAAATTTTCTTTAAATTTTAATGTGTGTTAGCTGAGGTTGAGTCCTTTCCAACGAACCGTTTCTTTTAGGACCTTATTCATTACGAGCGGAGATATGGAAGGTCAAAATTCACACCTTTACCAGCCCATATCTCCGCTGTTTGCCAACCGATTTCGATCATTTCTTCACCGAAAGATGTGTCTCGACACTCTTCAGTAGGCTATATTCACCATTAGTCTGTGACGTCAAAACAAATGCCACCCATATTGAAAACCTTTTACTGCTTGTATCTCGGCAATCAGATAGTGCATTTTCTTTAAATTTTAGTATGTTGGAGTCCAGGTCAAGACGTCTCTAAAAATAGGTTATAGTTTTTTGTGGATACAATAGAACCCGAGTTTTGACGGTTTCAAATATTATTTAAAATGCGCTATAACTTTGGTTCTATTTATCCGATCTTAATTATTTAAGGCTCGTTGGAAAGTTTTTGCTAAACTCTACGACTATTTGGAACAACAGAAGTTCATCAGACCACCGCCAGAGGCGCTAATATCAATAACAAAATATTGAAATTTTTTTAGTGAAAATTTTTTTTCAAGGTCACACTACTTTGAGATAATTTCTTATGTATTTCGATAGTCCAGATCGAGACGTTTCCAAAATGGGGTCAAACTTTTCTATCGAAGCCATAGAACCAGAGTTATAACTGTTTGATTTTCAGGACTTGGATTTCATATTGCATATGAAAATTTCCATGCTTTTTTCCCTCTAACTAAATCGAAATGGCCACGGAAGGGAGAAATTTGTAAATCCCAGCTAATATGTATACCATCCACATTTTTTTAGGTACCATTGCTTCCAAATGTCTGAAGCGCTCTGAGCCAATTCGAAGATAACATTTTTAATTTTAATGAAATCGTAAAAAATCGTATCTAGAGAGAAACAACCCTGTAAAATTCTTCTCTGCAAACAACAGAACACATTCATGGCATATACGCGTAAAGAAGTGGCCATGAATAGCGTACAGAATGCGAAAACTGTGTACGACACACAAGCTACCCTTACTGTTTTTTTTCGGAAATTTTACTTAATTGACACAAGTTAGTAACGATATATGTAACAACCCCGCACTTTCCCTAAAATATTGTAATTTCAGCATAATCTTCTTGATAGTCAAATAGTCTTTATCTATTAACCAATGATTATGTTTCTGGAGCTATAGTTTGAGTGTAAGGGATATATAAGAAAAACCATACTCAAATAGATACTAAATGTTCTATTTTTAGGGCCAGTCTCAGAAGATCCTTTGGTTTTTATCCATTCACGATTGGGATACTTAATAAAATATTACCAAGATTTTAATGATGAATTCACAGCATTTTGAAGTGAATCGTTTTGTGGTTGTTTTTGGAGTTAATCCACTACGTTCAAGTGTCGGTAATAATGAAATAGTAATACGAGGGCGGGTTAATTAAAGAGAGACATAATTGAGCAGAGTTTCGCCGTAAAATGCTGTGTTTTCACCATCAATTATTAAAAGAATCCTAAAAGCCAAATGTCGACTTGGCTTCTTCCCAAATCATTGAAAAGTAATCCAGATCTAAATGATTGCCTCAAGGACGTTATTGCTTGAATATAAAACTAAAACTTTATACTGCCAAGGTAATTCATTTAAATTATGAATTTTAGGCATTCCGTAGAATGTTTCTCACTATACAATACAAGAAAATTCTCTGATATAACACGTTCGTAAAAAAGTGCATCGAAAAATTTACCTTTAGGTATTGCTATTTGCCTGTAACAAACGAAGACGAAATTCATCAAGGCTGTTTTCGGAGTCTCCCACGGTGAAAATTACACGATACATGACGCTTACAAAGGGCAGAAAATATTGGTCCTCAACCATTTGCCACTCGTGTGAATTTGACAGCTTCAAACGAATCATAAACGGATTATCCTACCGCAGGGAATCCACATTGGTAGCGGCAGAGATTAGGGGTCTTCCTTGTTTTCATCTGCTCGCGGCCACATCAAACGCAACATCATTTGGCTTTAAATTAAATGTGGCATAAAATGTCCCCTCAAATTTCGTAAAATGTTCAGTCGACCTGTAATTTTATTGGTCCCTTTCGCAAACTAACAAGCTGATTCTTATATTCAAATTTTTATTATATAACAGATTTTTTTTCCAACGCCAATCTAATACTAATACTTTGGTGAGTGAACGAATATGAAAACTATTTTGAATGAGACAATCGGAACACAATCCGATTTTCTAATGTTTATTTTCCTTTGTAGAAATCTATTATATTATTTGCATTACTAAATTTTAAAAACTGCCTTTTAGTCAACAGAATTGTGATATAATCATTTACTATTCTATTAAGAGCTAAGATTTTTAACTACTCATATTTGTGAGACCAAGGCAAGTATAGATTATACAACTTAAGAAAGAACCTATTTACAGTTTTGCTATGGGGGATGATCGTCAACACTCAGACATCGTTGAACGCAATCTATGTTCGCAAAAGCATGTTCTTATGAGCGCAAACAAATATATTCTATTTTATTCTATTAGTAGTAAAAATAGTAGTAGTAACAGTTGCTGTACCTCGGGGCTGTTATAAATACTAATTCTAAACAATACTAGTTCTAAACCTAGAAATGATAATAATGATGACAGCAATATTATTCTACTTCGTGCAATCTAATGCTTGAGTTCTTCAGAAATTCAGTATGTTACGAAAAATCAGAATTTTACCCGTGTGTCAGACAACAAATCAAAATGTTGCAAACTCAATGTTATTATTATTATTAATATCATGAATCATTTGTTATACTAGTTACCACAGTCGTGGCTTTGATCCATATCAATTGCAAATTATCAAACACAACAGATGGGAAAATATAAGGCCTTTCAACGACAAATGTAAATTAAAAAGCAGCCCATAATAAGGTTGTTGTTAAATATTCCAACTGAGGTAAAAATTCAATGGAATTATAATTATTATTTGTCCCTATACATAGATAGGAACTATACCAGATTGGTAGAGCTTGCAAAACGGCGATATTGTCTGCAAAAAAAATGCTCAGGGCCAGGTCTGTGAATTTTACTTGACTGACTTGAATAACCTTGGCTCTGAGTGGGAAAAATTAGAGGATATGAGCAAGAGTGACGACACATGACAGGGAGTAACACGCAAGGCCAAATCTGTTCTGTCTGAAAGAAACCACAATCTGGATGATTTGGTTAGCTTTGAACCTTGGCCCTTAAGTGGGATATAAGTGGGGATTGTACAATGGGTTCGTTCAATGGCCTGGATGCTGTTGGCTCAATATCTAATGCCCCACTCACGTCTAATTTAATCTAACATGAAGCAATGCAAGTTATTTTTAATTTTTAGTTCTCATTTCATGTATAAACTGATTATCACTTAGTGTGTCTTCCTTTATAAGTCTGATAAGATTTAGCTTTTCATGTATGATAGAGCTACTTAAGAATCATTTTTTAGGCTAGATTGTGTTTGAATAAATGGCGGGCGCTGTCCCCCTGACCGCCAACCCCTGTGTCTTATGGCCAGGTCCAGAGGCTCCGAAACCTCTGGACATCTCGGTGCCTGGCACACTACCCCGCACGCAGCCAAACAGCCCTTGAGGCTAGGCATTCCGCTTCCAGCATAGCGTCACTACCACCAGCACAGCGCCCCCCCCCCCCTCGAAGAGGCCCGAAAATATACAACCTGCGAAGGGACTTTTCCATCGTTTTGTCCCGGAGGTTGGTCACCAAAGCTAAGACGGCGATGGCCGCAAAAAGGGGCTGTATACATGCTGTGAATAATAAAAATCTATCTATCTAATAGTTACACGGATAACGGCTACTTCAGATAGATTGATAATTCTTACTGATTTAGGTCCTAAAAATTCTATAATCCTGTACCAGCACCGACAAAAAAGGCTTAATTCTGTTTTTGGCAATACTTACTTGCTTACTTACGTGGCTTTGACATCCCTTTGAGGGACATAGCCTTCTCCAATAGAGGAGATATTTGAGACAAGTTTTTGTTTTCCAATGGCAGATTGTCAGTTTTCCGACCAACCATAAGTGGTTCTAACGTCCACCTTTATATATACAGAGACAGAGCACAAGACAATTCCAGTGAAGCGTATGTTTCAGCTGGAACATTCAACAGCAACCTATTTTGGCTGCTATAATTTGCCATTGAAAGGCTTATTTTTGTTTTGCACTCTGCTGTGTTCGAACATTTGCAAGCGGTGGGATTCGAACACAAGACTGTAGCATCGAGAGTCAAACGCATTGACCACTGAGCCACAGCCGCTCCTGTTTTTGGCAATAGCTTCGTCATAATTGATTTAAATTTCACTTCTTCTTTCTCTTATGATGCACACCTTACTATTATTATTGTAAAATGATGAATTTTCTGCGTATTGAGAGTCTTTCCCACACTAAAAGTTCCCAATTAACTGTTTCTCGTGGGCAACGCTTCACACCCTTTGGGGTTTTGCTGAACACTACACTCCTTCTACGATCTGCGCATCACGGAAAATGCATTTTAGCAAATATAATAACCTATATATTACCAACCATAGCTCTAAGACTTTTCTGTAACTAACATTTATAAATGCCGTATACGGCATATACGACCAATGAGCTGAGTTTTCTGCCGTTTTCTCGGTGAGGTCCTGCTGGGTGTGCGTTCTTAACGGAAAAACTCAAAATACAACCAAAAGTCTTTAGTGACTTATGCAGCAAACGGGAAATTTGCATTAGGATTCCTTTGGAAATCCTGAATGAGATCAGAAAATTGAATTCTTCAATTGTAAATCGGTGGATCAGTGTTTTCTCGCCTAATTTGAAATCCAGCTTCTAGAGTATTTTTCTCGTTTCATCCTCTGTAGCGCTAGGTTTGATGCTGGGGCCCTAGCGCATTGTTAACACTCAACAATACTTTTTATGGCAGGTCACAGTGGTGTAAATCAACTTGGTGGAGTATTTGTGGGTGGTCGCCCTCTACCTGATTCTACACGTCAAAAAATCGTTGAGCTTGCGCATTCTGGTGCTCGACCCTGCGATATCTCCCGCATACTGCAGGTGAGCAACGGTTGTGTTAGCAAAATCCTGGGACGATATTATGAGACGGGCAGCATTAGACCACGCGCTATCGGAGGATCGAAACCGCGTGTGGCCACAACGGAGGTGGTGAGCAAAATATCTCTGTACAAGCGTGAGTGCCCCAGTATTTTTGCTTGGGAGATCCGCGATAGGCTGTTACAGGACGGCGTGTGCACCAATGACAACATTCCCAGTGTGAGTACTTGGTGGTTCCATAACGTAAAATTTAAGATCACAGAAATATTTTTTATGTCTATTTTTTAATGCAAACAAATTTATCAATATCATATTTATAATTGAATTTCAAACCCGTTACCGTATAATATTATTATTATTATGTTTATTAATCGCTTATAAGTACAAAGCTTTTGCGAGCGTTCTTTGCGTCCACCGACGTCTAAGTGTTGATGACCAACCTCCAGAGCAAAACGATGGAAAAGCTCTTTCATAGGTTGTATAAGCTTTCTTCCCCATCTCTTACAAAATGAAAAAAGCAGTTAGGGCGCCAAAAAGTTCATTACATATTACCAATCATAAATAATTTAATAAACATATTATACAATATAATTGTGTTATTGTTTTGTCAGATTACTGTGTTATTAGAGAACGAAAATTTTGTCGTAAATTTTGCAATAAAATTTTCCAACATGCACATATGGTATATTTAAAATCAAATGGAAATATTCTCTTTCGTAAAAAAAAGATTTAGGTTTCTGAAACGGGCCAAAATACTAGAAAACATTCCAAGCATTCTTTTATAATTTAGAACTTTGGTGCTAGTGTACACACGGCAATTCACACAGCGCACATACGGCATTTCAGCACCGAATACACTTGTCAGTCCTGTGGACTAGGCTTCCCTAACCCTCGCTCTATCCTTTCCTCACAAAATCTTCTCATCCGGGTTGTAACAAATTACCAAAAACTAAACACAAATAAACTTATTTACAAATGACCAATGCACAAGACAAAAAATTATAATAATTTATAAAAACACGCAGTAGTTGGAAGGGGTTGCTAATGTTGGAGATACTGTGTTACTTGGTCCGATGTGCAATCAAGATTCCCCGGAGTTTCTGTGGCACCAAAAACCCATATTAGCAAGCTCTTAAGGCAAATAGAAAAGCCACTTGTTAAATTGTATCAAGATGAAGAGTCGTCTAAGCATAAAATATACGTGGAAGTAAATTTTTTCTAAAAACAATGAATAAACTGAGCATGCCATAAAAATAAAATTTCATATTTTCCCAGAAATAAATATAAACAGTTATACTCAGGAAACAACCTATGAAAGCGATTTACCATCGATTAGCTCTAGAAGTTGGTCAAAAACACTCAGACTTCAATGAACACAATCTACGCTTTCAAAAGCATGTTCTTGTGAGCAAAACGAAATACATTCTACTCTAATATTATGTCATTCACGGCTTTATGTCTGAAATCCAAGATAATTTTTTTTTAGAAACTATGTGCTGAAAACAATAAGTTTCCAAAAAAAATATATTAATTGATTGCTAAGTGTTTTTAGAGAAAAAAAAGTATTCTTTACCAAATTACACCGTTATATAAAAGTTTTGTGTCATCCAAAATATTTGTTCTTTTCTCACAACATTAGAAGCCTTTAGTAGAATATCGTAACTGAAATAGTTTTTTTTTTCTTATTAAGGATCTCCAACGGTTTTTGGCGCACACTATATCATTTTCAATAAACCTCGATTAGATGCCCTTAACTTATTTTATTGGCGATGGGAATTCCAGCAGACAATGCACAGTAGCTGCTCTCAGAAAAAATAGATGAATGCTCAGTATTTCTGATCCCTGTACGGCGTTATTCTTCGTTAAGCCGTCATATTACATTAATGTAGGTGACCCGATTAGTATTCTGCGAGTGATGACAGCAATGTATTGTGACTCGGTGGTGATTTTGCTGTATAATTTAGATAAATAGGAGAAATAGGGGCACTACGTAGGCAGCTCTTTTAAAATTATCACTACTGTTACATTTTTACATTTTTTCACCTTGTTAGAGATGGGGAAGAAAGCTTATACAACCTGTGAAAGAGCTTTTCCACCATTTTGCTCTGGAGGTTGGTCATCAACGCTTAAACGTCGGTGGACACAAAATACGCTTACAAAAGCTTTGTATACTAATAAGCGATACATAAACATATTCTATTTTATTCTATTTCTAATAGTGCCAAGATATCTATGTTCCTAGGAATGCCACAGAGTATATAGTGCAGCAAGCAAGCCTTATCGCTGTTATCAGTAGAAACTACATTGATATTTTAAAAAGTGACAATATGGAACTATACCAGACTTAGTAAAAGAATTAGTTTACTTACTGCATACAAATATCTCGAAAACTCGACGGCATATTCTGTTTAAATTCTCTTACTCAAATATCTTGTACTTGTAATTAGAATAACTGATCTTATCTTTACATGATTACTAAATCTATCAAACAGCTCCTTGAACTAGGCAGCAAGTTCTCCAATTATAATGAATGGTGCAAAAATACAGAAGATTGTCTAAGAAAATATATGAATAAATAGAGTGATCTATTTATATATATATCTATGTACATATTTATGAATAGCAACATATTTATGAATAGCAAAAAACTCCTTTCCTTCTCCTTACGACGTTTCGGGCTTTTATCACCCGTTCTTTAGATATGGATCAGTCTGGGACTTCATTGAGTCAATGAAGTGATGTGGACGGAGCCAGACCGTGATCGAAGTACAAAAAACGTAACTGGAGTTTTTGACCACCTTAATTCCACACCGCAAGTTTATATATATATATATATATATATATATATAAAACCTAGAGAGAGAAACCTGGAGAGAGAAATATATAAATATTTTGATTTGAAGTTACGTAATGTACTAACTTCCTTAATCAATACCCATCGTATTTTACGTATAGCAATAAACTAAAACATGGAATAAAAGGCAGTTTTATTCTTCGTGTGCTCCTAGCTGTCACCTATGTATTCCCTTTCAAGTCTTGTTAATTTATGGAGTGCTAAAGGCCTTTTGTAAGGGAGTGGGTGAAGATAAAAACGCCACCCTACTACGCCTTTGCAGATGCATTGTCATCAGAATACAATGACAGTCACTCGGAGGGTAATGTCACATTGAATTACTTGAAACGTTGCGGGGCTTCAATGATATATCGATAAAAATTATCGAAGGGGACGACGAATTTTTGTGCGAAGCAAATGTATCCTGAATAGGCGGTCGAACAATCCCAACAAAATTTTCATTCAGTCCAAGTGTTTCAAATTTTCAGCTATGACCAATCTTCTTCGTACACAATTTTAGGATCCATGCTCTAGTTTTCAATATACAAAATTACAAGATAAATTTAAATATTCAAAATCTTGGATTTAAATCTCAGCATATGGTTTTTTTCACATATATGTATTTTTTCCCATCAAACTAATTGTTTGTAAATAATAAGTATATAATCTGCAATGTAAAATTGAGATAGAGTCGTTGTAATCCCGAAAATTAAGCTGAACTTATGACGAGAAAAAGAGCGGCCGCACTACAGGGGGTAGAGTGAGGACAGAAAATATTACAGCAGTATGTTCGATCTCCATAGTTGCCAAATGATGGAACACAACAAATGCGAAATATATTAGGAATTTAACTGCAAATATATAATATATAACAAAAGCAACTGAAAATATTATTGGTTAAATGTTTCAATCTAAGGAAATACTTTAATGGGATTTGTATTGTGCATATCGTAACAATATATAAATGGAAACTATACCAGATTAGTAGAGCTTGCAAAACGGCGATATTGTCTGCAAAAAAAATGCTCAGGGCCAGTCTGTGAATTTTACTTGACTGACTTGAATAACCTTGGCTCTGAGTGGGAAAAATTAGAGGATATGAGCAAGAGTGACGACACATGACAGGGAGTAACACGCAAGGCCAAATCTGTTCTGTCTGAAAGAAACCACAATCTGGATGATTTGGTTAGCTTTGAACCTTGGCCCTTAAGTGGGATATAAGTGGGGATTGTACAATGGGTTCGTTCGATGGCCTGGATGCTGTTGGCTCAATATCTAACGCCCCACTCACATCTAATTTAATCTAATATAAATATAGCGAATAAAATTTTTCATGGTAATACGGACACAAAACCATTCCTTTACGGATGATAGGCGAGTGTGTCTTTAATATAGTCATGCTATGCAATCATATCTCAGTTTACACATCCTATTGTCTACTTTGCGAAATTCAGATAGGCGTAGATTTGATGTCCTCTCTCTCCTCCTCTCACGAGTCCGAAACTCGTGTCGCGAAATCGAGTCAAATAACGTAAAAGGACATTATCTCGACATTAGCGATTTTGACTATAAGCAATGGAAAATATCGACTAGTACAGATTTTTTTCCTTATTTGCAAGGGTAATATCGCAAAAACCACCTATTATTTGGGCTGTTGAAAATATCGCTTATTTATGGGAAACATCCGAGGGGGGGATAATTTGCCTGAAATCTGTACACCACTTCCAAACATTTTTTAAGTTTCTATGGTGGACTCCTGACACTTCTAACACTACCTTCACTTATTTTCTTCTATTTATGAAAAAAAAACAGAAAAAAAACTTATACTCACATACCCTTTCGTAGGGCGACAGTGGGAAATTTTCCTGGGGATGCATAAAAGACCCGTCAGTTGGCCTGGATAGCCGTGGCCATAAGAGTTATCTTACGCTACCTCCTCTTCTAATCTAATCTACTCTTTTGTAGATTATGAGGAGGAAAATCTATTTTGAAGTGGTTAGAATCTTGCAATATGTTTATTTCGTATGGGAATCGATGGAATATCGTAGAGATTATGTTCGAAAAAATCGTTAAAATCTAATTTTGAAAATTTTGCCTTTGCAATACAAATTTCTTTACAATATTTAGATTTTGATGTATTTTGTCACAACATGTACATATCAATCTTTCTTGTGGCCATCGCCGTCTTAGCTTTGGTGACCAACCTCCAGGACAAAACGATGGAAAAGTCCCTTCGCAGGTTGTATGTTTGTGCGTCCCTCGGTGGGGGAGGGGGCGGGGGGACGCTGCGCCGACCGCTCATGACGCTATGCTGGAGGAGGCGCAGTACCTAGCCGCGAGGGCTGTTTGGCTCCGGCCGGGGTATAGCGTCAGGCATCGAGGGGCTCAGGAGATCAAGTCTGCCCTTCGGAACCTCTGGACTCGGCCATAAGACACAGGACAGGCGGTCAAGACAGTGCCCAACACAGACGCTAGTTATAGCGCGATTCACTAATTCGGTCGACATCTGCGGAGTCTAAAGTCCAGAGCCAGACCCTCGCAGCCGCCTTATTCAGCGAATCAGACTCATGCTCTCGCAACACATTGCTCAGCACCGTCGGCGTAGAGAAGTTGAGCGATCTCTTGAAAACCTCAGAGAGAGGCCTCGGAATCACAAATGGCTCGCCCCTGCCACGGGCGGTACACACGAGCAGTTCACGAGTCACTCCACGTCTTAGGAATGAGGCAATTATCCTGGCCACATACAAATGACGGAGTGGCAGGATGTCTCATCTCTCATACAAAGAGCGCGAGTGGTCTCTACCGCGCGCAAAGGACATAGGCCTAATGAGAGACTTTTGGGCCCTTGCGAGCGGCAGCAGGTGGGACTCACATGAGTTGCCCATAGCAGGACTCCATAAGCAAGTCTGGATTCAGCCAGCGCAAAATATGTATATGGCCCTGATCAGCTGCTCACTACAGACATTTCTCAATGCAAAAACCTGGCGCACAAGTGCACAGATATCTCCTCTGACACGATCAATGTGAGGCTTCCAGGTCAGGTGCGAGTCTATCACAACCCCCAAATACTTGAAGTCCGGGACTCGACTGATCCTCATACAGTCATCGGCACAGTCGCCGACGGCGCGCGCGCAGTAGGGGGAATGGCTGATAATCCCGTCGACCGTCTCCTGGCCCAGGCCGAACTCCATTATGACGGTTTTAGAGCTCAACATCATTCCGTTGTCAGCCAGCCACCTTCTCACCAACAGCAGATCTCTCTTCATAGCCTTACGGGCCTCCAACCTCGACGGCGCATCATGGATCAGCGCAATGTCATCCGCATAGGCGGTGATATGTCCCACGAACACAGACTTAAGAAGGTCGTTTATGTAGATCAGGAACATCAGCGGACCCAGAACCGAGCCCTGGGGGACACCGCACACACAGGGCACCGAGTCGCTGACGCAGACCGGTCGGAGCCTGACGTGCTGGGAGCGGTTCGTCAAATATGTGTCGAGCCAGTTGAGGGAGACACCGCGGAAGCCCGCTGATTCCAATTTCTCCAGGAGGATGCCATGGTTCACCGAGTCGAACGCCTTCGTGATGTCGATGAAGACGGCCGAGACGCTCCTGCTAATCCGACGGTTCAGGCTCTCGTGTAGCTTGTGAGCAAATCTTGCCAGGACGTCCTCCCCGGTCCATTCTCGGGACACATCGGATACGGGAGCACCTGATCAGCAAGTAGACCTCCCGCGCAGTCACCGAATCCAGGAAAAAAGACTGAGCAGCCGACTCACCGGTGGGAGGGACACTGGTAGGCTCCACAGACAGCAGACCGCCAACCACCGAGCCGAAGAAGTTGTTGATCTCATTGCAGATCTCGTCGCCAGCCGTTAAGGCGGAGCCATCCCTTGCGCAAATCGACCTGATGGCGGTCGAACGGTCTGAGCCGCGATTTGTAATCTCATTCACGACTCTGTGAAGTGGTCTGTTACTCCCAGCTGTTGAACCGATGTCTCATTCTCCACCACTGCGCCCGTGGGATTCCTGATGTATATGTGATCCAGGCAGGTGGAGGAGGATCGGGTGATCCTGGTGAGCTCACGGATATTAGGAGACAGACCATCCTCTGACATTATGCCCTCACACTCATTGCTGGTAGAAGGGTCCTGTATGTTGATATTCATGTCTCCCAGAACGTATAAATTCCGGGCAGCAAGACAATCCAGGCAGTCCCCCAACTCGCGCACAAATACAGTGATACTGAACCTGTGAAGGCGGTACAGGCACAGGACGGTGACGGTACGGCTGCCAATTTTGTCAAATTAGAGCCTCAAATCCTATCCAGGTCTCTAAAAGAAACAACTAAAGAATATTTACGACCCTTTTCAATGCATTTTCACCCAAAGTAAAGGACATAAGTTGCGTGTTTCTGTTCCTGAAAGATGTGCTATTGATTAATATTATTCAACTTGCGTGGTTTTTATCGGCTTTTCTGGGTATTTGAAATTTTTCAATTAAACATCAAACGTTGTTAGCAACAATACAAAGTATCTCAGACTTAAAGCCGCAAACATACTCCTCGTGATCCTTAATGTTGTCTCGTCATGCTTCTCGTATATAAACAGTTTAAGTCAATATTAATTTTTGTAATTAAGCTAACGATGCAGGATCTTTCTATCGGTTTTGTCCCGCTGAGGCTGTTGTAATAAATATTCTTATTCTAATATTGGATAACTATTGAATAGGAGAAACGACCTCAAAGATCTGAAATTAATATTAAATTTTATTTCGACTTGAAAAATTCTGCCGCAGAATTTGCTTCCTAAAAAATAAATATTTGCGCATGTTTATTATTTTCTATGACACTGAAAACCATGAAAAATGGAATGAATTTATCAAATTTGTGAAATAAAATTGCATTGCATTGACAAAATATTTTTACGATCAAAAGTTCCTTCTACAATGCTATGTTTTATAATATTATAAAATATAAAATTTTGAAGAATATATGAACCATGTCATGTGACACGCCAAAATTGTTCAAAGCTTAAGTGTAAGGATTCACTGTGATTATTTTTCGGCCAGGGATTGGTGTTCGACGATGTACGGAAGTTAAGTGTAAGGGTTCGTTATAATCATATTTTTAATTTAGTCGTGACGCCACTCTCGAAAACAACTTGAATTATTTTGAGAGCTCTCAAGTGTGATTATTATAATATGTTGAAAATGAAAAAGGTTTATAGAAGCAGTGGAGCGAGGAATGAAATTAATTTAAAAAACCCCTTCTTCTTGGCTTTCTTTTTCTATTCTCCATGTATTTGTTTCTATATTACAGGTATCATCAATAAATCGTGTTTTAAGAAATCTAGCAGCACAAAAAGAACAACAGGTTCAAATGCAACCACAGTCTGATTTGCCACCCGTTGAAGACGTTTGCGATAAACTCAGACTTTTCAATGGTCACCAAACTGTTTCACAACCAACCTGGAGCCGTCCAGCATCATGGTATCCACCACCAATCGCCACATTCTCATTATCATCTGCTTCTGGTGCCACTGTGCTTGCAGATTCCATCATACCTAAGAATAGAAAAGGTGAGACTAAATTTGAAGTATACTCAGATAAATATTTTTTTAGAAACCTTCCTTTGAAGAAGAGTAGATTGAATGATTTCTCAAGTGACCTTATTACAAAATTGTTCACTTTCGCTTGTCTACACAAATGCAAACTGCGGCTTAATCAGAAAAAAATATTATCTTATTCTTAAAAGTAAACATATGCTGCGAGATAAGTTCAACTCTATTAAATAGAACATTTCCGATTTCTCTAAATGTGACTAGTCGAAAAATGAGCAATTAACGGTCAATAATCGATTAATGTGTTGATTAATATAATATACTAAAAAAATAAAAAGACGAAAATAAGAAAGACATGAATAAGTACATGAAAAATATTGTTCGTAATATTAAATAGAGAGAATTTCAAATTGATCATGCATCTTGATAGTCCCTTTAAACTCATTCTTCACAAAGGAAACACGATTATTGATTAGAATAGAGTATATATTAATTCAGAAGGTGAAAATTCAAAAGGAATAAAAGGTCAATAGTACAAGACTTTGTGTAGTATCTTAAGTCCGATCGCATCAAATGGCTGGAAATCTATAGGCTGAATTATTTCAATAAAAAGTATAGAGAAAATATAAAATCAGAGGACACCAAAGTTCCGAAAAGCTTATGAGTCTGAATTAGTTCACTAAGCAGTACGTAATGGCATATCTTCACAAATTCAAATTTTTTCTGTTCTACTAAAACGTAAAATATCGTCATATTCGCTGGTGAGTCAATCAGAAGCGGACAAAAAAAATCTTTTTCGTCCTTTGATGTAGGTCTGATGCATCTCTGTTCTGTATGAGAAAGTCGGGATTTCGTATTCAGGATCGAGTCAGCTACAGGAATGTATTCTACCCTCATCACTATCTCTCGCTCACAGTTCGTATTTCGCCTCATTTAACATTCTGGCTCACCCTTCATGACTAGGTGTCCTCCAGTTGGAGGAATAATAAAATCCTGTTAGGGAAAACTCATTCTAATGGAAAATATTTGGAAAATTACGCACGCTTTCCACCATATCATGTGCACACATTTTTTCCACTCTATCGTATTTCGGTTTATCCCGTCACACTTTCATCTTCTCCTGTGCCTCAGCACATCCCCTCGGTTTTACGGCTTTCTGAGCAAATTTAGACAGAGGGAGATTCAATGTGACACGTGCTCTTGACAGTTGATGCTTATCTTCGCTCCATTGCACAGTGAAACGACATAGTACAGGTCTACTACCAAGTTTGGAAACTAAAAAAATTATTCTAAATGTTTCTTTATCTTTTTAATATTACATTAGAATTTTTCACTACTATCACCACTATTAAAAATGACTACTGTTACTATTACAGTCCAAACTTTTTTTATTTAGACCACTTACATATAGAGTATAAGACATACATATCCATATAACCAGCCAAAATTGAAGTAGATTCTAAGTCATTACGAATGGCAGAGATAAAGACGGCTGATTGGACTTACAATTACTTTTTCTGTGCTGCTTGCGGTATTGAGTTTCTTCAAATCTTCAATTCAATTCAGTGCATGGTTGTAAGTCTGCCCGGCTTCCCCGCTACATCCTGTTCTCATTTCTTCCATCGTTTTTGTTTTTTCTTTTAAGTAATTAGTCTATCATAGTATTAAAGTTTTTCCCTCAATGTCTGTCGAACAGCTACTACATGTATGCTAGACAACACTTTCAACCTCTTCTTTCGCGCACTGATTGACAAAAACTCCCACATGTAAATGTCGCCACAAAATACATCCAGTGATAGGGCTTATCCATTGTTTTGCCCCTGAGGATGAATCTGAATGCTAAGACGGTGATGGCCGCATGGGGGGTGGGTCAAAAACAAGCGCGAAATAATGAATAAAAATATTAAAATTAAATTGAGATTCAGACTGACTGTTAAAAAAAATATTGCAGAAAAATCTTTTCGATCTCAATCTTAGGCCATTCTAAACATATTTGAATTCTTAGTAAAGAATTTTAGTGTTCTCTCATTGTATTCATTATTCATTTTATTTACTTGATCACACAAGTGAAAATAACATATCCGTAATTTTCATTTTAGGCAAAAACTTATTTGGCTTGTAACTAAACTTACCCTCTAAGCACACGTAAAATGTTTGCCCTTGAAGTTATCACTAATGATCGAAACTTATAATACTGTTTACTTAGAACAAAATTTTGTCTTGAAAATTATCAAAATCAAAATATAGCCTAATTTCTGATTACAATCGCGATTTGGCTGAAATAAATCATAATGAATGAAAACAATTTTTTTAATTTAATATAATATCGTTTAAACAAATAGACTTTTTTCATTTTCAACGCGAAACACCCGCGAGGTTCCACTCTCTTTAAATTAGTAAACTTTTGGATTTATGGCTATAATACAATATTCCTGATGACTGGCATTAAAGAAAAATAATTGAAGATGTACTCGTATGGTCTGCCTTTGCAAATCAGACGACCGTACACTTATTAACCGATTTATTGACTTTTGTTACTGATTTCGATAAAAAAGATATTTCATAAAACGTTTTCAGTCATCCAATCACCTAATTCATATAATCAAAACTTATACTTAAGCTCAAAGCTTTTTCTCATAAGTATTTCATGGTCTACAAATTTCTTCCACAGAAATTTAATTCTTGTGACAGTCTGCATTATATTAGGATAATTAATTTTTCTCAGTTCGTTTTGGTTACTAGACACAAAACAAAGAATAATTTTTCATTATTTCATATTCAAAATTCAGTTGTACTGCGCTAGTTTCCAAAAAGCGTTTTTCCTAACTGTAGGACATGTAAAAAGAAATGCGTATTTAGTTTCGTTAGTACATAAAAAAAACTAGAAAAGTTCATTTCTTACAATGGCAATACCACAATGACACCCTCTTTACAAATTGATCATTCATGGAAGTCATTCCGTCGCCTTTTTTGTCTCGCAATTTCGATGGCTCTTTGTAACTGAAGTCAATTGATATTGAATGGTGCAAAGACGCCTTTGTTAGCAAGACCCTTCATTTTTTACTGACTATCTTCGGCAGAGTTCGACGGAGTGCATTCGGATGAAACGGGAAGCGGAGAGGGGGACTCCAATGCCGGTTCTACGGGAACAGAAGACGATCAGGCGAGACTTCGCTTGAAGCGGAAGCTCCAACGCAATCGTACAAGCTTCACTAATGACCAGATCGACAGTTTGGAGAGTGAATTCGAACGGACACACTATCCAGATGTTTTTGCGCGTGAGCGACTCGCTGCCAAAATAGGTTTACCCGAAGCACGAATTCAGGTGAGATAGAGAGAAACATTCTATTAAATTTAAATATCAGTTCAAACTTTGCAATTAAAACTCAGATGAGCAAAATTAATTTGCGCTTCCTTACAATGCCGATACTTAAAACATATATGCAAAAGCGCAAATTAGTTTAGGATATCTAAAAATATTGTCCAATTTTCCTCATAGTTCTAATAAATACGATGTTTTCCTCTTTCTGAAACATTTACCTGAGGACATGAAAATTGTTTGAATTTTATGCTCTTTTACTTGGTGTTGATATTATGTCGATATCTCAATCAGGGGCCGAGATATCGTAAAATGCAGAATGATATGTGTAAAAGAGCAACAAAAAATAAGTTGAAACACCGCCTACAATTCTCTTAATATGTATTGTAACCACCAGTAGAAAAGAAATTAAGCCAAGCTTTATTGAAATTGCCTATGTCTTAAGACGCGAGGGCAATTACACTCAACTCGTGTTACTGTAAAAAAGTTAAACTATGTAGAAAATGTGTAGCTTTGAGAAATCACTATTAATAAACACAGCAACTTTATCGTTAAGTTTTTATGCTTGTCGAGCTGGTAAATTTATAAGTCTACAAAAGCACAAAGTTGTGAAGGCAGTTGTGAAACAAAACAAATAAAGTGTGCATTATTACGGTTAAGTAATCTGGTCCATCTACAAATTTTGAGTATAGATGTTTTAGGAACCATGTAAACCAATACTCAGTATTGGAGTGCTCATTATTGAGATATTTAAGTAATAGGAAACATGACATTCAGTTATGCCTTTATCAGCATTCCTTAAGCAATAATAGGCAAAATAGCCGGCGAAACCTAAAATGTGTCTTTTTTTTGTATTCGTGTGCTATTGGTGTCTTTTCTAGCCCAAAGATCTATGTTGAAATTGCGTTTGACTTCAGACGAGGTGAATTGCGTAAATAACTCCGCGTTTTCATGTGATTGTCCTGAACCATAGAAAGTAACGCAATGTAAGAAGTCGTTCGGAGATTATTGTTGAATCTGTCTTTCTGGAATCTTAAACATGAAGATTTATATTTATGGAATTTCAATGAACTTCTTTTTGACTGGACAATTGACATCATCAGCAATATGGAGATCATAATACAATTTCTGAGATGAGATGCTGCTAAAATTAGCATATTTTATGGAATATACAGAGTCTTTGACCCACTGACAAAATATGTCCTAAAAAAAGCTATAACATGTATTCTATCGCGAATTTGTGGTTTTGTTGAGTAGACATTGAATATATTGAGACTAAGACGTATTGGTATCTTGACTACGACATGAGATGGACGGACCGATGGGGGCGAGTCAACAGCAGGAGCATAGGAGGCCTCTCAGGAAAATCTTTTTCACATAACACAAATGGCAAAAACAGCCAAGAGTCAACGTAGGTGGCAATCAAGCAAAGCAGGCGCTTCTGTTCATGGTAAAATTCACCAGTCACAGCCTGATGTCATTGCACTCTTTATGTAAGCCATCACTCCCAGCTCCTTAGCAGGAGGCTTCTTCCCAGCTCAGAAGCGTTTTGAAAGCAAATATCACCAATTTTGTTTGCCTAGTTCCTAGTTCATATATTGAAATATATCTTCATCAGAAATTAAAAAAAAAAACTCTTTTTTAGATTGGCATAGTTTAGACACTCATAAAGCACACCGTAGATATACGCTAAAAAATCGAAATATGAAAAAAAAAATTGTTTGTGATTGGAGCAATAAACTCTATTAAACTTCAGAACATGAGATGAACATATTTGACGCATAATAAAAATGGTTTAGAATTTGTGATTTTTTTACAGGTATGGTTTTCTAATCGACGCGCCAAATGGCGGCGTGAGGAAAAATTACGTAATCAGCGGCGCACACCCCCCGCAGATCTACCAGTCGATCATGGCACACTTGTAGATCTAGCTCCATCAGGGTCACCACGTACGCATAGCTCTAATCCTTTCGTACCGCCTCTCAATTGCCCTATGTATTCTGACTCATACAAGTAAGTAAAAACGAAATCTTATATTGATCGAAAGTGTATTTTATTATTGTTCTGAACTTGTACCAATAAGATTTTATTGTTTTAGGTAAGTTTATGCCACTGGATTTTCATTCAAATTATATGTAGGTGTATTATTTGTCTATAATTTCCAAAAAAATCTTATTCTTAGGTTATATTTGTGAAACCATGTAATTGCACAACCACCAGATAACATAACACAATTTCGACCAACTGACAATATTATCAGCGCATGAATTCATTCTCTCTCTTTTTATTCACTGTCTCACAAAAGTGAAACTTTAACACCCCGAACAGACTGGGCTTTTTACATTGATTACACAGACCCGGGACTTTTTTACGCCCTTACGGGACCTTTTTTCCCAAAATGCCTATTTCTGCCAATTTTTGCTCGGGAAGATCGCGGAAAACGATCTGATCACCTTCGCTCTGCATTTATTTAACGTTTCATATGAATTTTTACCGTGAAAATTCTCATTTTCGTGAAAAACATGTTAATATACTCAGCTGTGTGGCAGAGTGAAAAAGAGAATCGACACTGTAGGGTGCCTTTTTCAAGTATCGTCACAGCTCGGGTGATTAGTACAGCCGCTCGGCACTCGTCGGACTGTTCTACTCTTGTGCCAATGTGTTTGAACGTCACTCCGAGGCCAATATTTTGGAAATTGGCAGGAAATATTTAGTTTTTCGTGAAATTAGTGAGCAAGACGTGAAGAATATTGCAGAGAAGTGAGAGTGGAAGATGTTTCCGAATAAAAAGCTGCATCTTCTGCGAAGGATTAATGATAAAGGCCGGTCAACTGCAAGGCGAGTTGCAGAAGATGAGCTCAGAGAGAAATTGCCGAAGAACGTCTTCCGTGCGCATATTCTTCAGCATCACGCCAATGCATTGCTGACAAACTGAAATAGGACGATTTCTGGAGGAAAAGAATCACTGTGAACTGATTTAGAAACAACACGAGAATACGCGGTAGACACTGAGCGAGCCATCAGATATTGAGAGCGAGCCTAATCATCAGTTTTTATCAGGAAATCCTTCGTCCCGAATTAAAATTTACGGTGAGTAATTAAAATCAAATTAAATCATGATTAGAAGTTAATGATTATGATATTTTCAGGGGAATTCTTCCAAGATCTATCCAGAATATTGCAGTACCAGCTCACCTTCTGTACTTTCTTGGACCAAAAGACGCCGCGAATAAAGATCAACGCTTTTTGATGGAGTGTGATTCAACCTGATTCCCGGCTCTAGATCTCGCTGACGCTCTCGCTAGCGTTTACTCAGAATATTCACCATTCGTGGTATTAAATACGGAACTAACAATGCAATGAGTCGCGACCTTTATATATTTTTAGCCAAATTATCTCAAAAATTCTGTAAGAATTGACACCAAAAACTTCCATATAAAATAATGCTTATGATTTTGTATAATTTTAATTTTGTGGGAAAAGAGAGAAATAAAAACCTTGCGTAAAATGCACTTTAAATTTGTGTTTTTGGCTATGACGGAGAATTAAATAGTTAATTTGAGATATTTTATGTCGATTTCCGCGATACTTTGCTGTCTGAAAAGTATAACTGAGTAATTGCCGATAGCGCCGCGTTTAGCATTAAAATCGGCGCTGTCTGCTTAACTTTAGCACAGAAGCACGAAAGCTCCAAAGCGCTAGAGCAAAAAAGGGTCTTAGAACGAGTGCTCTAGAGAGAAGTCCCCGCTCGAAAAAAGTCCCTCAACTGTTATAAAGGTTGAGTCTGTTCGGCGTGTAAGTGTACATCTTTCTGACTACAAACGTCTCTATCATAAGAATAATTCAATGAAATTCACATGGAAAATGTTCCATTGAATATTTACTAAATTACTGTTGGGTACCAGCCCGCAGAGGTCACTCGCGTAGCGAAGAGAATGCCCATCTGGCATCCCTTCTTAGAATTTACTTCTCACTTCTGAGAACCCACCGATTAGAGTTAACACACCTATAATTAATCAAGCAATAAATATTGAATTAAATAGTTATTAGTCACTGTGCCATCTCTCATCGGAAGAGGAGAGGGGTTGCACACAACTTTCAACCGCTTCCGCCATTTGGAGATAGGCGAGGAAAAGTGACTACTGGCAAGAGGCTGACCGAGCCTCACTTCGCCGAGCCGTCACCTTTTCCTGTCTTCACCTCAGCACCATTATTAGTCACATAAAGATGGCCGGCGGCCGTTCAAACTGTCGGTAGATGGGAAAACACGAAACCCCTTTATGTTTCGTCAGATTTCGTTATGTTTAGCTTTTCAGAGGCTATTTTATTCGATTTTTTTCTCCGATTTGATAGCAAGGAAATTTTTAGGCTCCATTCATCATGTTTACCGGTGCTTTTTAACAACAACGAATTGAATTTATGAATCTTCAGTACATAATTACTTTTCATATATTAAGATAGCTAATAGATACCTTTTGAGTTTAAAAAAGATACAAAAATTTTATTTTAAAATCCTAGGAGAAATAGTTAAAAAAAACAGCTTCATATTAATAGCAGGATGACGGCTAAGATTCATTGCGGGTCGACATGGGTGGGATGTAGCATATTTTCTTTTGGGTTTGATATACTGTCAATTTCAAAAAGCGGAACAAGGTGAACATAATAATGATAAAGGTCTTTTTGTGTCAACAATTATCAATTAAAGCATGATATTTTAAATCATGTATAATGTAATAATTTTCAATGTAATCTGTTGTACATATAATTCTATTCTCTTTTCAGCATGGCTCCCATGGTAGGCTTTACGCAACCGATGGCGTCATCTCAGACAATTGGTATGGTAGCGGGCGGAGGACGTGAATTATCATCTCCGTACCAATGTCAAATGGTCCGAGGTTCAATGACTCCTTTACATCATGTTACTAGCACTTCCAGCGCCTATGATCTGCCCCTAACTTTCTCAGCTGCGCAGCGACACTGCAGTACAACTCATTCTTGCTACAGTAGTTCTACTTACCCACCTCCTAGTGGCACCACAGGTGATAATATAAGTTTGAATTTAAAATTACTGTCTAATAATTTATTAATACTAGGTATGGCTCCTCAATATCCAGACCTAGTCTTTGCTGATGGTCGTTCGTGGTGCTGTGCAGAAGAATCTACTGAACGAGGGCGCACGTTGCTACACTGAAGCCGTCCAAGACAAAACGGCTTACTGAAGTAATCAAGAGATGGGAGGAAATATTTTTATGAAGTAAAGATGACAAGCAAAAGCAACAAGATTTTGTCATATTGTATTAATGCGTTTATTGTTGCCAGGGGGTAATTGACGAGTTGACGGTGTAGACACCGTAAGAACCAATAATCATGGTGGTTCTTTTTCCACAATGGAGCGCTCGCCTCATAGTTCTTTGCGTTTTATAACCTAATTTTCTAACAATAACAATTCAGTTGTCACAGAGTATGCATTATACTACTCCATCTTCCTCATACGTTCGTTATAGCATAGTTACGCAACAAATGATGAAAATGTTAACCATCTTCTTCACTAACTTTGTATTCTAAAACTAAATATAATTCCACAGTCGCACAATGTATACACAAATTTCCAAAAAAATCCGGAACTTCTTTAAAACTTATATTCATACAATGTCACACACAATATTACTTTGAGATCTGAGTGTTGTAGCCACATTCCTTCGTACATCCACGAATTGAATGTTTAACTCTGGGATTACCATTTAAATATACTGCTCAGTCAATGGTGATAATTCTTTTGCGAAACTTGCGTTGATTTTAGAGTTTCGCACTTACATTGTCCCTGAAAGAGAGAACAAAATACAGGGTAAGTGGTGTTATATAATGCAAAGAGTTGTTTCCGAGAAGATATTTTCAATTTTCTGCACATAGTTTGGTATTACAAAAATATCGATTAGATTTAGATTAGATTTTATTTTTATCTCACTGAGGAACAGTGTACACCTGATAGAAGTATAATACAGATTTTCCTAAATAAAAAAATCTGTATTATTATATATTATCTATATTATAGCAAGCAGTAATTATTTGTTCCTTAAATTTGTTTTCTGTGTACCTTTCGGTACCACTTTACTTATAAGTACCTAAATATATATGCATGAAGTCCTTTTTTGAGCTATTTTGTGCAATACTGGAGAATATTGGCCTTATTGCTGAAAATATGTAGATAAGAGACTTTTAAAGTAGAAGCGCGGACATTGCGCAATGATGAGAGCATTTATATTTTGATTCCACAATCATGTGATCAATCCTGATCGGTGACTAATGATTAACAGATTCGAGAAAGAATTCAATTAAGGGGACTGTTCTTGGCCCTATAGTTTTTGTGGCTTATATGAACCAATGACCTCTAATCACTAGATTTAAATGAATAGATAAAAGCATATACAAATGACATAGCTCGAATATATCATAGGGAAATGTTATGAGGAAATTTTGCTTTTTCCATTCAACAATTTTTTAGTTTTAGAAGGGGCTTTTTAGAAGAAATCTTTTTTTTTTTAATAATTCTTTTCACTCTAATTTTCAGTATAGTAATATTTTCTGATCGGAAATGAAGCGGTAGACGAGAGAGGACAAAGGAATTGTGAGGGTATTGTTGTCCGTGCACTTAATCATGTTAAGTAATGAAGCAAAAGAGATGCGTTTCCTCCAACCGCGTTCGTCTGACCTATAATATGAAATAGTATCCAACTGCCCTATATACGTTAATTCACTCTGTTGCTCTTGCACCACTATTCTTAACTAAAATTAAAGCAATTCATGAACGGTATATTTTGGTTGTATGGGGCTTGTTGTGTTGGTAGTGGAGATGAGGGGTCTTAGGTTACACCTTTATTGGACCATATCTTCGCTGTTATCCAACCAATTTCGATTATCTTCTTACTTAAATATGTGTCTAGACGTTCTTTAATATGCCATATATACCATTAGTCTCTTACGTTATGAGCGTCAACAGCGCCGCAAGATAATAATAATAATAATATAATATAATTTATTTATTGATTCATGCCCCTGTTTTCGCATTTTCTTGCTTTTAGGATAACACTTCTAAGATTAGAAGACAGTAAGATGAAAAAGTTTTTGCTACTGTATTCAAAATGCTAAAAATATCCTTCTTACATAAATTTTAGATTATCATTAATGTCTTAAATAATTATAAGACTTTGATGTTTTATTTTCGGAGAAGATCCAGACTTACCTTCTGCCTCCGTATGTGAGAGTGTGGAGCCACTTGGTGATTGTTTGCTCGCGAACTTCTTGTATACAGCTGGTTGTGCTTCTTGCATGCTGGCAGAAACGAGGGTGGAGGCGGAAGCAACCATATCGGGATCAGGTGGCCGTGGTAAGCGCCTTCGGAACCAGCTGTGTCGGAGTGCTGCCCACGGTTTCATTCTTTGTATAGGATCGTACTCCAGGCAACATCGAATGAAGTTAATGAATAAAGGATCATCACATCCCTTGAGTGCCGACTTAAGACTGCGAGACTCCGGCAAGCACCTGTAACAATACACAATTTTATTAAAATTATTATAATTTTTCGGTCTGTTTATGAATTTGATATAATCTATAAAAAGATCGCGAATAACTTAAAAAAAAAATTCTTCTCTGTAGTACATCTCAGAAGCTTATTTTTTATCTTTCTGAGATCTAAAGGACCTAATGGTGAAAACCAAAGGGTTGTTAATGTTGGTTTTGAGTGCTATAGCATCTTACATCTCGACTGCATTCCGATGTACGGAGATACAAATTCGACACCGGAATATTTTTAATGCCGTTTCATTTCCTGATCGTCATGAAATGTTGAGGCATTTGCACGAAATTCTAGTTCTTTATGGCTTCGTCTGTTTTATTGAAAAAAAATCTAAATTAGAATTCAATCCGACAATTCGCGAATATAGACAAAATTTCTAAACATAACTGCATCTCGGCTTCTTCGGATGCATTTTGACTGTTTCTCGGACCAAGGGACACAGCATCTCCGACATTAGCAACCTCTTGGTGATAACACAATATTTTGTTTCTGCGGATAAATAAGTTTACTGCAGAGCAATCAGTTTTCTGGCTTGCTTTACGCTATTCGTTTCGTATATTTTTCTTCTTTCTCCCACATATTTAGAAATTATTTGCAGGGCTCTGAAGAGTTTATTTGTATGTGAGGTAACGCATTTAACTTTCAACACTACAGTTTTATGTTCGAATCCCACCGATTGAAAATGTTCGAACAAAGCAGATTGCAAAAAATTAAGATTTTCAATGGAAAATTAGAGCAGCCTGTTCAACAGTAGGTTACAGTCGATCGTTCCAGCTGTAACATACGTTTTACAGAAATTGTTTTCACGCTCTGTCCCGACATATATGAAGGTCAATTTTAGAAATAGTTATGGTTGATCGGAATATTGGCAATTTGTCACTATACTCTTCTTGAATATCTCCTCAAATAGTTGAGGTTGTGTCCCTCAACGGGACATTAAAGCCATTTTTTGTATTAAAAAAGTAATAAAATTTAATCTCACCTAAACTTTCCACGTGGCGTTTTTCCAGGTATCATCTTAGTGGTCCCATCTGGATTTGTGGACAACCGGCAATATCTTGGGTATCCTTTGGACGTTATATATGTAGAACGCTTTTTTGACTGTTCCCACATTTTCTCAGGAGGCATACCCAGCATCTCCATGATACATGACAGCTGGTCGAATTCATCCTCTCCCGCAAACAGAGCACTACCTGTATACAATTCCACAAGAATACAACCCAGAGACCACATATCAATTGCAGTTGTATATCGTAAACCCATAATCACTTCAGGGGCACGATAGAAGCGGCTTTGAATATACGTATAAACACGCTGTTCTTCATAACACGACGATCCAAAATCAATTACCTGAAAATAGAAATACCTAAAAATAACTGATTTGTGTCTTTAAAGCGTTTTAAAATGAAGTGCTGAATTAAATACAATCATATATGTATTGCGATTACTATACGGAAAAATTATAGTTAGTAACTTTGAATATACAAGTTGTGTGGTTTCATTATTCTTGCATGGAATTAAAACCACAGAATTTACCCAAAAATGCCCAATGTAAAAAAACTGCAGATTGCCAAAATGCAGTTACGATCCTTGCAAATTCTAATGACGAAATAATTATGCATTACTCGTAACGAAAGTACCTATACATAATTTTCTTTTATTAAAGTATTATTACTAAATAAACTTTTTAATAAACTATTGTTGTGTTTTCAGCCGGATCTTGAGATTAGATTAAACACGGGACGGCCTTTCTTTTCTCTTCACTCGCTTTTATTCTATTAACGACGTTTCGGTAATACGCGGGAATATTACACAGGATTAAAATTAGGCAACAGCATCCGAGGACGGGGAGGAGGAGTTCCACAGCTGTGGAGAGGACTGGAGTTGAAACTGTGGAGACAATCGATCAGTGCAGCGAATGCAAGCAAACGAGTTGGAGTGGAGTGAGCCAAGTGAGATGAGAAACAAATTCACCCCTAATTTTCATTATGTACGTGTGGATTACCTGTTGGAACATACAAATCCCGCATGAAACTCCTACTCCTTGAGCCTAAGAGGCTGCTCACGGGAATATGCTTTACCTATTGGAATACAATTTCCTCCATGAATTCTCCTTCCTTATGAGCGCCTTAGAGGCACGCCACTAAATCTGCTTAAGCTGCAATGAGACCAACTATTAGAAACCTGTCCAGAGCCTTAATTCGGCACGCGGAATTCTTCTGAATAGTCTTGTTTGAGTCGTCTCAAACAGTGGCGTCCTTTTTCTCCTCTCGACGTGCTGCTCGCGCGGGAAATCGATTGCGCTGCACTAGCACCACTTCCTGATGCGTGGCCAATGAGAACCACAGCTTATCAGGATATTTCCACTTCCGAATTGATTGCAACAGCGGTTTTCAAAAGCTTTCTTAATTCAAGCTTCTACTTCACATACAACAAATTTCCAAGTGAGAAAAATTACAAAATGGTGTATATATATTCACCTTTCCGGAAAATTCCCCTTCCGGGAAATCCCAGTACAATAGAATTCTATATTCGCGGTGCCCTAGGTCTTCGTTCCTTCCCCTCCAACCCAATAATAATAATAATCCCAGTGTGGTGAATGTGCGGGTAATAATACATTTAAACTTCACCGTCACCAACGGTTTTTCCATAGTACGAATAACAATTTCACCCCATTTATATAAATAGTGACACCAAACAATAAAATTACAGCCCTGAAGAAGTAGAAAAAGCTCTTTGAAACGTCGGTAATAGAATAAAAACGAGTTAAGAGAAAATAAAGACTGTTCCGTGTTTAATATAATAAACTATTATTAGACTAGGAAATCGAAAATACCTTAATTCCAGATCTTCCTTGTTGTTTGAGTAGAATATTCTCTGGCTTCAGATCGCAATGGATAATACCGTTGTCATAGAGTGCGTTCAGGCAGATGAGCAACGAGTGTGCAAACTTTCGTACAAGTTGCAATGAGAAGCCTTGAAACTTGTTTTTCTTAATCAACTCATACAGATTAATATATAACAATTCGAATGTTATGCACATATGATTTCTAAATGTAAAATAATCATATACATGAATGATATTGAGTGTATTTTCTTTGTCCTGCTTGCGCAAATGATAGAGAATACGTATCTCCTCTTGCGCCTGCTTGTGGAAGCGTTTTTCATTTCGCACCATTTTTAGTGCTACATGTTGATGTGTTTTATGATCGTATGCCTTTACTACCTGCAAACATAATTTTCATTATTAGTAATATTATATATATACATATATATATATATATATATATATATATAACATGTGGAAAAAATTTCGTTAAGAGAAACGAAACGTATTTGGAGACAAATAGTGTGAATATTTGTGAAGAGTGTGTTAAATGAAGAAGTGTGAGAGCAAGATTTCGAGAGAGCAGTAAAAAAAATTAAAAATTGAACAAACGCTTTAAAGCAAAATTAGTAAGTGGACGAAACATGAACAAAAGTTCTCAACATTTATTTGCACTGGGGTTCGACAAATCGACATTGAAATTAAAAACATACGAGTAGAAATTGAAGTAGTGAGAATAGGAGCGTTAGGGCTTCGGCGCAAAGCGTGGAGTGACTGCGGCGTTCTGAAGTGCACGTGAAAAATTATGCACGAAATGGTACTTTCGATGCGAACCAAGGGGTAGGTAATGTCGGAGATGCAGTGTCACTTGGTTCAAGATACAATCAAATTGCATCGAAGATACCGCGATGCAGTTGTAAATGTTTGCAAAATCCCTAGAATTTGCATCTCCGTGCATCGCGATGCAGGCGAGATGCACGATGCTAAGGCACTCAAAACCCACATTAGCCACCCCTTGATGCGAACTGGGCAAATCTGGTCAAGATAATTATGGGACCAATCAAGGGACAAGATAAAAGATAGGTTGAAGACTACGGAAATCATTTCAATAGTGACCCGGAAAAGTCTAAGGAGATTAAATCTAGCTCCTCTGCATCTTATTTCTGTGAAAAGGAGTCCCAGAAAGTCCCAAAAGGCAACGCATTCAGGGCAACACATCACATTCGTCACATTCAGGGTCCCGAAAGACGATTGTGAGGAGAAAAATGGCAGCAATGTGCCCATTGATATGAGAATGAATTCAAAGAGGCAGACTTCAAATTCTAAGACAAAGATTCTCGTGAGATGAGGTCTTTTAACACCCGAGGTGTCGAGTATACTATCGAGAAGTTTAGTGGCGATAAAAATAAAGGTTTTTGTGTGGATTTGTGAGTTTGGTGTCCGAGATAGCAAATTGGACACTACAAGAGAAATTCATAATTTGTAGCAAAATAATGACGGGAATAGTCAGGAATTTTATACTGCCTGTGAAATATGTGTCATTCTGGATCTACATGAAGCAATTATTGAAGAGATCTGGGAGAAGGTGAATACAAACCAAAATTCATCACAGATTGGTCAACAGGATGAAAAAGAAATTAACCCTTCTTCAATTCAATTTTTCGCACGTCTATGGCATTCTCACATAAATTATACATCGATGAATCTAATTTTTCACGGCAAATTTTAATTATGGCGAGCCCTTGTGCGTGCTATTACTTCTTTTTGTTTCCTAACATAAAACCTGATGTGTCTTGCCTCTCTTTTGACAGATGGGAGGAGGGGGGCTAACTAGTGTCTGGGCTACTTTGTTCCAAAATTTGCTCATGAATGCTATTTCCACACATCTGTTTGTTAACAAAAACAGTTCACAAACGGTGACTCGATTGTTAATGATAGAGCACATGATAGTGTTAAAATTCAGTTTATCAATTATAAGTTGTGAAGATTCGGCCGCTATGTTTCAATTGGTGAATTAACTAAAAGGCCGTCTCCGTTAATTCACCAAATTGTTGTGTTTGAAGCTAGAGGGCGCGCGGCCATCACTTCCTTTGTTACTAGCATATATAAGAGTCAGGGAATAAACGGGCGTTCTCTTGCACAGTAGATCTCAGTAAAGCCTTGTCAATACACTTCACAAATCAATTATAAGTTTCATATTACAATCTAGCCTTTGAAGCAGACCCCTATCAGAATTGAAACGTCGGTAGAAGAGGGAGATTATAGAAAGCAGTAATGTACTAGAAATTGGCTGTTTTCATCTTTTCATGGTGAGTGTGTATTCATACTCGTTTTTAGTTAACAAAGCCGAATTAAATGAAACGCATTCCCGAAAAAATGTTTTGCTTAAGTTTCCTATCAGTTCAGTGTTTGCATTGGTTTACTCTTTTTCAAATATTAGGAGTGACTAAAATTTACCTGTCCAAAACTGCCCTTCCCGATGATTTTAAGTACTTCATAACGATAAGCGACATGATCGTGTGGTATGTGAATGTAGGATCCTTGATCGTTGTCATAGTCAGAATTGTTCGCACCACCTACACCAGGTCGCTTCATCGCAGTGGCGCCAATAAAATAGATCTGCTTATAGTTGAGTATCTCATTGCGCTCATAGGGTGTAAGCTTATGGTGATACGCCATGAGAACATCCTGTGGATTCGCTACAGTCGTAATGGGGTTTGCCAATAGCGCTTTCTCCTCACCCTTGGTAATAAGCTCAAGAGCCCCAGATGCATCCTTAGCTTCTTCTTCACTCGTATTATTGTTTAAACTAGTGGTGTTATTATTTCTTACGATAGGCGGTAGAAGAGGAGCTGATCCACCTTCATCGTGAGTCCCTTCATTTACCACCTGAAAAATTCAAATTCAAATTATATTTAAAAATTTTATATGACCTCGCAAGAATAATTTTGTTCAACAATTAAAAAGAACTGTAAGGCTATGAAGACATTTAGATGTTCCTTCAATTATCCTAAATCGTATACATGTGAAGCAATCTAAAAATATTGAATTTTTATATTAAAAATATTGAAAATTTCACTGCCAGAAAAACGCGAATTTTACGAATGATTCCATATTTTATGGCCAAGAAATTATAAATGTAATTTTAGGAAAAAATCAGATTCCGAACACAATATAAAAATAAAATTATAATGGAAAGTAACTACTCTGTTTTCCCCATGCTTGCGATAAAATATTTGAATTTGATTTTATTTCGATTCTGATATCTGTCCTACTGTAGAAATAAATATCAATATCAATATATTACAACCAATTTGCTGTCACTAGATTAGTCACTAACCTCAGGGACAAAACAAAAGATTATAATTTTTTAGCCAATTTTAATTTTTCAATATAACAGTAGGAGACGACCACATATTATCTGGCAACCCAAGTAGGGTTGAGGAGAGAATGCCGATTGTTCAGTTTGTGGCAGTGAGGGTGATAGGTGGTGATTTGAGAAAAATTAGATAGATGGATATTTATTACGACAGTAGGACAAGGTGTCCTCTCTGATACAGAAAAGAAGTTCAGTTCTATCAGTCAAGCTGATCGGATGTGCTCTCTATCGCATCTGCAGAATGTTGTATTGTGAATCGTGTCGGGAGAAGATTTCGCGCGGGAGATCCTCTCTGGAGTGTTCCTCGTGTAAGAGTCTGTTTCACGACAAGTGCCTGAACTTATCACCGTCTCAGACGGGCGCGATCGCGGCAAATAGATCTGCTTTTAAGTGCCCAGCCTGCTCAACCTCCAAGAACCAGAGAAAGCTGTCCATCTCTGCTGAATCTCCATCGATCGTCACTTTAACGAACAAAGTTGATGATCTTCACACGTACGTCTTCAATAAGCTCAATCTGCTGGAGGAGTTAATCAATGAGAATCGTGAGTTGAGGGAGATACAATCCTCGCTTGAGGCAAAGAATCTTCTCGCCGAGAGGCGAATTGATGAATTGGAGAAACGAGTTGTACAGCTAACAAATGAATCCGATGACCGCACACAAAGAGGTTTGTCAACGGCACTGGAGATGCAAAATGTCCCGAACAATGAGAAACAGCTGCCCAGTGTGGAATTTGCCGCTGGCCTTCTGAACGAAGCCCTGAAAATTGATGTCTCTCCGGCTGATATCGAGAATGCACACATGAGGCCAATTAGAGCTGAGCGGAGAAATCTGCTTGTCGTCAAGTTCCGCAGTGACGAGGTGAAGAGGAACATCATCAAGGCCAGGAAAAAGGCCCATCGAGACAATAACTTCAGGGGTGTTTTTCTGGTTGACGCCAAGACCAAAATTTTCATCAATGAGCGACTGACGCCGCACAGACGGGAACTTCTGAAGACTGCAAAAGAGTGGAAGACGAAGCTCAACTTCAAATTCCTGTGGACTGACAACGGTGTGATTAGGATGAGAAGGTGCGACCCCTGAAAGGTTCTACGTTATCAACTCTATCTCTGACTTCGACAACTTGCCTGCCCAGGTGGCCAGCCAGGCCACTTAAATGCTCCATTCACCTCCATGGGCGCCTTCTGACGCGGACCTCAAGATCGTTCTGCAAAATATCCGGAGCATGAGGAAGAACATAGATCTTCTGGTGACTACTATTGAGTCTGGAAGCGCTGGAGGGGTTAAACGACCAAATATTATCTTTCTGACGGAAACCTGGGTCTCACAAGACGAATCCCTCACTATGCAATTGATGGCTACACGCTCCATGCAGTATGTAATGATTCTTATAGGGCGGGTGGAGTTAGTGCTTATGTGGGCGATAAATTGGGTGGAGTTTCTTCTCAAAAAGTTGATTTAAATACCGCGGACTGTATTAAGATAATCATGAAGCATGACAGCACAGATATAATTCTCTACTGTTTCTACAGATTCCATTTTAAGACTATTTCAGAGTTTTTGTATGAACTGGATCTGATTTTGGGAAGCATTGAGCACTGAGTGGCCCGACGAAGATCATCGTTCATTGCCGCAAAACCAAAATCGGGGGAATGAGGGTCCCCGAAGCAATAAATCTGCAAAAATTGACCAGCTTTCACCCCAAACACCCGCACACCTGAGGAAGGAGAAATAAAACTCCGAAACGTTGTGCCACAGTGGAAAGGAGTTAAGTTTTTCTTGGCCTTTGTTCCGTCACACACATTGTTACAGTATAATCTGGCCGAAACATAATTACAACTCAGAAAAAAGTTCAAATTTTTTCCCTGTGCCTGACTCCCATATATGACAGTTGGACATTTAAATCCCACCGCTTGCAATTGTTTAAACTCAGCAGAATGCAAAAATATGGCCTTTCACGTGATTACTGTTGAAGTTCCGGATGAAACATATGCTTCACTGAAATTGCCTCTCACACAATGCCCCTTATATAATAATGGGTCTTAAAATCATTATGGTTGGCCGGAAAATTGGCAATCTGTCGCCGTTAAAACAAACTTGTTAATGGGAGTGAGGTCATCACTGCCCGGCACCTATAGAGCAGAGACTGAAGTTCTTGGGCACTCGCGAGTGTCCTTCCTCAGCGACCAAACTTAGAGTTCCTATTCTACGCCAAGATACCTTGCTCAGATTGAGTACAATAGGCGTCTACAGTCGCAGTGTCCTAAGCCACATATGGTCTACCTGTCCTTTGTAACAATAATAATTAGGGTCCTTAGGTGTTTATATGATTTTAACTTATGATATTCGGAGTAAACATGCATCGAGTTGGTCAAATACACTTTAACTTATACGCAGCTAATCGTTCCTACTTTATAAAAAAAATGTTGTAAAAACCATAAGGTTTACCTTGAGTAGGCTCATGGTGCTTTTGTACAGTTCTTCGTAAGCCGGGTGATGCTCATAAAATCTCGTGCGCGTTTTTACCATCAGCGAGTGTGACTCGCCTCCTGAGTGTATCATAGATGTTGACAGACCTTCCGTGTCCGATTTAGGCATTCTTTTTGGCCTCCTCTGAGCTCCTTACATTCAGTTGCCTGCATGAGTATGATTGTAATTACTGTATCTTTTTGAGAAAAATAGCTTACCTGTGCGCAATTGATTTCCAGTGGACTATTTAGAGACCACATGGAAACGGCTAAGGTTTTACGGGTAAAACATATAATAATACAAAGTTTTTCGCAATAATTACCACATTTATTAGCCACTTGAATTTAATAGCAGCTTTACTGAGAAATAATGACGTTCTCTATTTCTAACAGCCACAGAAATGCACCCCACACAGTGATACTCCGGGTTTCCTATTAAAAAAAATATTTTTGACAGAGTGATGCCATCCCGGTTGGACTTCATCTGTCAAAATGCAAACAGTATGGAGGTTGTGTAAGTACTTCAAAACAATTACCATACGCAAAATTAATATTAACATAAAATAGAATAAGGTGAACTACCAAGATTGTGAAATATAATACGAATACATTACCAGAAAATTATACATATCTTGAAAATATTAATATAGTGTACATCAAAGAGTGGGAAAAAATCAAAGAATAATGGGAAAGGGACGACATAAAAAAGAAACAATAAAAGACACAAGGCCAAAGCTGTACCGTCTGAAAGTAATCAAGAATCTGGATTACTGGTTAGCTTTGTGTCTTGGCCCTTAAGTGGGAAGTGCTCCTGGGGATGCATAATATACCACGCTGTTGGCCTGGATGCCGTGGCATAAGTTATCTTACGCCACCCCACTTTCAATATAATGCAATGAAATGTCTACTATAAGGCAGGTTAGACTCTGCCGGCGTTATTAAGTTGTAGGTTTTGTTTCCAGTACTTTAGCAGTAGTGATAGTATATTACTCTCCTATTATTCTCCTATACCAAATATACACTAATCCCGTAGGGCCGCCTCTCCCTTCAGGAGTGGACACGCGCCTCCGCAATGCGTGACTGTGTCTTTCGGTGGTCTCTCTGTGTCGCGCTGGTTCCTTCCGTGTCGTGGGTTTCTTTATGTGTGCCGCCCGTTCCAGTGTTTGCTTGGTTACATGTGGCTCTCGCCATTGCTCTTCGTGCCGCTGGAATGTCTTGCGTGGATAGTTTTTCCCCAACCGTGAGATGCCTCCATGTTACTTCTTCAATATGTTTCTCTCTTCTTTTTCCCTGCTTCTATTGTCTTTCTTTTTCTTTCTTCTTTTTCTTTTTCTTTCTTGCTTTTGGTTCACTTCTGTTTGTTGCTCGTTTCAAGTCCGTTTTTGAGTGTCCTTTCTCACCGGAGTCTGGATTATGGTTTGCATCGTCCGTTTTTCTCTGTCGGTTAGAGCTTAATTAATCCTAACTGGACACATTGGCGGCACCACAAGCTCATCAGAGCTTAAGCCGCCTCTTATCCCTCGACCCCCTTGCCTCCCGAATTCCCCCACCGATATCCCGTAGCCTGCATATATGTTTTATATTCTGTGCTAGTATAAGTTTTAGGATAAGTGGATGTACTTTTTCGGTCAATGATGAGGGAGTTTCTGCCGTTTATTCCGCTGAGGCTGTAATGAATGTCGGCGGCAGCCGCCGCTCGAGGCCCTAATCGGTGGGGAGCCCAGGATGTAAAGGACTCGAGCGTATATATAATAAATAAAAAAAAAGACTTAAATCCCACCAACATATAAAACGGATTTCGAATTAAACTGATTTGAAAGTTATAGACTAATAGAGCATGATGCCTACTAAAGTTTTTAGTGAAGACCTGACTAAAATCGGTTGATAAACAGCGAAGACAAAGGCTAGTAGTTTAATTCTGCAGTTGAAAATTTATTTTGTAGATGGTATTCGTTTTAAAACATTTTGATCCTGAGTTCTAAAGACGAGCGGCTGTGGCTCAGTGGTCAATGCGTTTGACTCTCGATGCTACAGTCTTGTGTTCGAATCCCACCGCTTGCAAATGTTCGAACACAGCAGAGTGCAAAACAAAAATAAGCCTTTCAATGGCAAATTATAGCAGCCAAAATGGGTTGCTATTGAATGTTCCAGCTGAAACATACGCTTCACTGGAATTGTCTTGTGCTCTGTCTCTGTATATATAAAGGTGGACGTTAGAACCACTTATGGTTGGTCGGAAAACTGACAATCTGCCATTGGAAAACAAAAACTTGTCTCGAATATCTCCTCTAATGGAGAAGGCTATGACCCTCAATGGGATGTCAAAGTAAGTAAGTTCTAAAGACAACATGACAGAAATATCATGACATAAAATATTTTGTTGAAGTTGGCGAAGACGGTTCCTATATATAAATATGAATATATATCATAAAAATGTTGTGCATCCGATTAGTACACATTATCGGTTGGGTATGTTTTGTTTTTGGAAAGTTAAAATTAAGAGAGGACTTATAGTAAATGAATCCGTTACACGGGTCAGCATGTAAGCTTGTATATCTGCCGTCGTGACGTCGCCACACATAAATACTGGGGGCTCGCAGTTGTGGTGCTGCTGCCGTGGCCCCCCAAAAATTGAGGAAATCAGTTGTTTGGATTTGTCTCATCATTCTCTTCTGGATGTACCACCCAATGTGTTCGAGTTAGAGCGTACACTAGAGGAACTTCACCTCAGTAATAATCATATTGTCGATTTACCACGTCAGCTCTTTCTGTGCCACGAACTTCGTCGCTTACATTTGCAGGACAACGATATTGCCGTTGTGCCTGGTGCTGTAGGGGAACTGTTGCATCTTCAGTTTCTTGATATCAGTCGTAACGCTTTGACGCTCATATCAGAGGAGATTCGTCAATGTCGTCATCTGACTGTTCTCAATATTAGTGCAAATGCATTAGGCCGCCTTCCTGATGCATTGACATGCTTATTGGCGCTGCAGGTAGATAGTATTACTATTTGATTGAACTCAGATAATTCATCAATTATTCACAAAAATTAATTGAGAACTGAAGTGTAAATAAAAATCTCATCATTCTAGATATTAAAACTTATTATACATTTTGCTTGATAATTACTTTACAGGAGTTGATTTTATCTTTTCTTCATATAAAACAGTTTATTCAAAATGTTCCAATATTTAAAATAAAAGGAGAAATGAGCAGACTTTATTTATTTATTTATCGCAGTAACAGCTAAAATGCTAAACTTTTTCTCAGAGGATCTACTTACTATTCCTAGATTCCTTTTCTTTCGCTTAGAAGATATCTACTTCAAACAGTTAGCTTCGAATAGTTGGTTATTTTTTATAATTTTGACTTGATATTTTTCACAATTCTTAATTGAGTATCTTGTTAAAAAATGATACCAAAACTACTGATACTTTTTCCTATTTCCTAAATTTTTTAGTAAAGTGTTCGGTTTCATTGAATATTATAATATATTATGCTAAGTTAGCTTGTTATGGTTCTTTTCAATTCGGGCAATTATGTTAATATAAAAAAGTTGTTTTGCGTAATTTCTTCTGAAATAAACTTTATTTTAAAAAATTTTTACAGACTCGTGAAAAATTATTGGTGTTTCTCACCAAAATTCCGAGTTTCTGTCAAAAAATGTTCTTATGGATATTTATTTATCTATATTTTTCTTAAACTATTAATTAATTTAATTATTTATTAATGTATGTACTCAATGTTTTAGGAGATGTACCTAAACGACACAATGCTTGAATACTTGCCAGCTAATTTTGGTCGCTTAGCAGAGCTACGTGTATTAGAAGTCCGTGAAAATACGTTAATTACACTCCCACGAAGTATGACAAGACTACAGAAATTGCAGCGCCTTGATATTGGGGCCAATGATTTTCCAGAACTACCAGAAGTAGTAGGTCATCTCAACTCTCTTACTGAGTTATGGTGCGATGGCAATCACATTCATCGTATTTCGTCCAATGTGGCTAACTTGCGTTGCCTACAACACTTCGACGCGAATGGAAATCAGCTGCAGATTCTACCGGCAGAAATGGATACATGGACACACTTACAAGAACTGAGTTCTTCATCGAACAGTCTTCGGACACTTCCAGATGGTATAGGCAATTTCCTCTGTCTAGTTACACTCAAGTTGGACAACAATCTACTGCAGGTAAGACTAGAACGCATACTGTATTCATGGTAGAAAAGAAATTAAAGCGTCGTTGCAACTCTCGAAATCTAGAAAATATTTCTTATTACTAAACCCATCTAAAATAATTTTAAATACTTCTCATAACTGACATACATCATTCTTGCAGGATCTCCCAGATACCATAGCAAATTGCAAAGCCTTGGAAGAGTTGATTTTGAGCCATAACCGTTTAACACAACTACCGAATTCGGTGGGTGCTTTGAGGAATTTACGTGTATTATCTGTGGACGAAAATGAATTAGAAGAGCTACCGGAAGATCTTTGTAACTGTTCTGCTCTTGCTATTCTTAGCGTGCGTGGAAATCGATTACGCAGCCTTCCTTCAAACTTAGGTCGTCTGGTAAATCTTAGCGTACTAAATGTGGTAAACAATCTATTAGTTGGGCTGCCACTCTCTCTATTGCAACTTCATCAATTAGCAGCCATTTGGGTAAGTGACAATCAGAGTCAACCGCTGATGCCGTTACAGCACGAAATAGCATCTGATAATTCAGTTCGTCTCACGTGCTTTATGCTGCCACAAGGCGGTACTGAACTGCATAGTGCTGACCCACAAAAACCACGGGATATCAAAACAGCACGTGTTGCGCCTCTAGTAGAGCGTCAAACCTGGCTCTTTGGTTGTCATCGTAATCCAAAAGTTTTTGAAATAATATTACCGGCAGACACAGCCCCGCTGGTAAGCCTGATTGCTACAGAATGTGGTTTATTTGTCAATTCTGTTGAAGGTCTAGCTGCATCACTTCTCAAACCACAGGATAAAATTCTTGAAGCGGATGGTGTGGATTGTAGTAAGATATCTATCACTGCAGCACGAAGTCATTTTTCGACTTCGAAACCTGTTCAACTAATGATCTCAAGAACATAAAAATGTATTTTCAAGAAATTCTTGTGTGATTCCAGTGAAATGAATGCAAATGCAGCAGAACGAATATATATATATATATGTGTGTGTGTGTGTGTGTGTGTGTAATACATTCCAATTATAATTTCTACTGAAAGTTTTGTCATTCAGCACTCAGAGACCCGAATGTATGTAAATCTTTTTTAGGCGTAATAAATAAAGAAAAGTCTGACAAAAAACTATGATGTTTCATTGCGTAACTTTTGCTCTTAAAATTTTAAATTAAGTTTTTAAGCATTGTTTTTGGTTGAAGATGATCTTAGTCAAAAGACACTTGCAAAATTTGTGGTAAATTTGGGCATACCCTTAAATAGATTTTTTTTTATCACACGCTTCGTATGTGTTTATGATACTCTTTTTATTCGTCACATTTAACCCCCTCAGTTCATTTTAGTCAATTTTGCGAGATTTGATTATGATTTCTTCTATTTGGGTCTTCCTAAATTGCCTGAAAACAGCACTAGTGGTTCCCATCTTCAATGAAGGTAACAAATCGCAAACTTAGCAACTACCGCCCCATAATGCTGATGTCATCGCTGCTCAAGATAATGGAGCTCATTTTGTACTGCAAGATATACGCTTTATTGACGCATAATAACTTCCTTTCGGACTCGCAGTTTGGTTTCCGTGCTGGTCTATGATGAGAGGATGCTCTGATGAGATTTGTCTCAATATTAAATGAAAGTATAAACCCTCGGGGAGAAGTTCCTCGGCGCTTTTTATCGACATAATGAAGACATACTACGCGGTGTATCATGATATCTTGCTGAGGAAATTGAACAGAGAGGACTTTCATGGCGTCACACTTAAGTGGTTTAACATTTATCTAACGGACCGTTCGCAGCATGCTAGCGTGACATGGGGCTTGATGGCGTCTCTCAGGGATCTGTATTAGACCGATTGCTATTCTTAATCAATATGAACAATCTTCTGAATATGAAATTTGAAGATATATGCTGTCCTTTTGGGAATGCGGGTTCGGGACTCTATGGAGAGAGACCTCATCCTGCTAAAACAATGGCTCAACAAACAGTAGCTTTTGTACCACAAATTTAGCGACCTCAGCACAAAGAATGTAAAACCGATTAATAGACGTTTCCAGAATTTTGTCCTGGTGGTTGGTTATCACTACTAAGATGACGACAGCCGCATAATAAATGGCGGTGACTCTACAGATTGCCGAGTGAACAATACAAACTAAAAATAAAAAAGAACTATAACATGCTTTGAGCGACAGCACATTTTTCGTAAGCGGAAATATGAGAAATGTTGGAGCGATTCTTACTGAAATATAACAATCCTTGACTTCAAAAATGTTAAAGTTTAGCATTATAATTGAATAAAGTAAACAGTCCTTGCTATTATCACCTAAACAGCATAATCATAATGGTTTCAATGTAATTTTATACATTGAACAGAACAGAACAGAACAGAAAAAGTATACTGTTTAAATTTTTGTTTTATTCAACCCTGAAATTATTTCAGGCCCTGTTTTCGCATTTTGCAAATTGAGAATCAAGCTTAAGCTCAGAACAATACAATTTCTCCATCTGATATCACATTTGTTCATAAAATTTAGGATGTTCGATCGTAAATTCAAATGAAATTTATGCAACAGTCATCTTTAATGTTTAATTGTTGACTATGCAAAGAGTTTTCCTGCCTAAGATATCCAAAAGAATGAAATAAAACAGAGCTTTTTTGACTGTCTAAGTATAAGTATCACATAGCGAACACTAAGCATAAAAATATTTTTAAAGAAAAATATTTGGAAGCTGACGTTGAAATATTTAGAACATGAATACTCGGTTGCAGGAGTGATAAATCGATAATGTTGCATACTTCAGGGGTGTCAAATCGACGCTTGCGCGAATCCAGTCAGTTCTTGAATATCTAAAGGTCGCGAGTACGTTCAACAATAGAACATTCAAGGGGGCCCTTCAGAGCCTCCGCAATGGGCAGAGCGCTGGCAATGGACCAGGCTTACGGTGACATACGTTGTATTGAGCCGTGATGCCACATAAATTACCTGCTATTTGAACAACAAGAACACATACACGCAGTATTCCAATGCCAAACGTGATAGTGCGCAATTAAGCAGATGGTTTATCAGTTGAATTTGTAAATCGATGTGGTAATAATTTGGTTCTATTTTCCTTGTAAAATCCATAAAAGATGTGATATAAAGAGGCACAGAAAGTGATTTACGGGAGAATTCAACATTGACTTTTGGAGCATTCGCAGAGGCTCAGAAAGTTACTTGTGAGTAGTATGACCTCTGGCTACGACCTATGTTGCCACAGGTGCTAAATTAAGCGCCCAATAAGCTTTGTTAAAGAACAATACGAAAATATGAAAGTACATAATTATATTCAAAGATAATTTATTGCGGTGAATGTTCCGAACCACTGGGCAATGATTTTTGTGAATTACACCTTATCTCACTCACCACTGGGCAATACAGTGGCGGAAAATAACTATTCAACCACTTATCTTGCCGGGTCTCGAACCCGGGAGCTCGGAATTGGTACTTAAATGCAAAATTCACAAAAATACATAATTTATACTTATTATTTAAACTACTATATTTTATCTATCAAATTTACTTTTCGTTCACTTTTTTTTAACTCATTTTTGACAATATTCGTAACCGAATATCTATAACTGTTTTACATTTTAGTTATAATTTATTGTTTAAAAATTTGAAAACCTTATGAAAAGATATACAATTCTCAAATATATAACAAAATACACGTAGGTAAAGAAGAAAACAAATTTTACATAAGTAAAACGATCAAATTCTTATAATTCTTCTGAGCTAACATCTCTCAAAAACGCATCATGAAAAATATCGTAAATATGTAATATTTTAGCGACGAATACTGTTATTTTTTTTGTAATCAAAGAATTAAATATGAATGTTCCAGCTGAACCATACGATTCAGTGAAATTGTCTTTCAACCTCTGTCTTTCTATATATTATATATTTGATCACCACTTATGATTCGGCAGCAAGCTGACAATTTGTTTCCGTAAAACAAAAACTTGTTTCGAATATCTCCTCAAATAGAAAGGGTTATGTTCCCCGATGGGACGTTTAATCACTAAAAAGACGATGGTAAAATATTACATTTTGTTTATTTGTTCGTGAGTTTAATTCAAAAGACTTTTATGTGTCTTTCCCAATGCTAGTTCCAATTCCTGACTCAAAAATTTCGATTATTTTTCGTAACACCTGGCTAGAAGCGGTAGTGAGCAAAGTAACCCGACATTATTGAGTTTTAAATCAAATTGCACTTTTCATTACGCGACTAAATAATTTATTGGCAGTTTTTCATACCATTCTAAATAATGATAAATTGCTTAAATGTGATGTTTGAGTCACAGTTAAAGTAGAAAACCGTCTTTATATATATTATTTAACGAAAAATACTTATTTTACAATGTTCGTTTCGAAGACAAAATGGTAATTTTTCTACCCACTCAATTTATTTCCGCACAATGGTTCAACGGCTTTTTCCTCCGTTTTCACGTTTGGAGAAATTTTCAGTAAATGTAGTACATGTATGATTTATTTATTCTTACCACTGACTTATACAGTAGGGGATTGGACATTCCATACAAAGTTCCCTTACGCAATTTCAAACATAACGACCTACCAACGGCACTACTTCTCAAGTTTTTTTTGTATGTAAAACTACACGGATTTTCTTTATACGGGTTAATTGGTTTTAATGAGGAAGACCCAGCTCAATATCTCACGAAAATTATGAAATGTTTGATCACATTATTTAAAACAATAAAATTCAGTTAAAATGACTTACAAAATAGTGGTATTTTTAAATCTTGTACTATAAATTAATCTTTCACTTGTGGCTTTGCGTTCAGATAATTACGGCTAAACTTATGGCGACCATGATTTAAACACTTTGGAGGCTGAAAATGGGCGCGGCCATGCCAATGGGTGATTGCTGAAGTTCGAAAGGTCCGGGAATGGTGAGCGTGTTGGTTATTGGATGTCTGGCCACGCTTGGTGCCATTATAACGGTCCTCCTTCTTTTCGCTGGTGGTTATCTTTGGTGGCGCCATAAGCGCTCGCAATTGCATTTCATCGAACCGAATGACGATGAAGAGATCGCCAGTGAAATTGTACGGTATGTTGCAATTAAGTATAAATTATTTACATAATAACATAACACAATTAATGTCTCTTCTCTCAGGCTACAACAGCCGGTAACGGTGTCTGTCGACAGCGCTGTAGAAAATCCACCACAGCAGAGCATATCACCGCCTCCGGTCAATAACATCAATCGTAAGCTGAATGGTTTTTTAAACATTAAGTCGCCGCTGATTGGGTAAGTTAAGAACGCTGTAATGTTACTTATTTCGAATACAGAACCTCAAATGTTCCCACGTAACATTTGAGGTTATGGATGCTTATGTTTATAATGAGGGATGTCTTTCTATAGATCCAGTAGCGTACCACCCAAGCCTGATGGAAACGTGGCCACCGTGAGTGGTCAAACGAGCGACAATCGTAGCATATCGATGATTGATATGTACATTGACAATACGGAGCCCATCGAGAACGTGGGTCTAATACACTTCTCATTAGAGTATGACTTCCAGAACTCCACGCTCATCCTCAGGATAATTCAGGTGGGATATTATTTGCTTGGAAACCAACCAGTGTATTAATTCACGTACATAAATCCATGATATAGGGTAAAGAGCTACCAGCCAAAGACCTCAGTGGAACGTCTGATCCATACGTACGTGTAACACTGCTACCGGATAAAAAACATCGCCTCGAAACAAAGATAAAAAGACGCACTCTAAATCCGCGTTGGAACGAGACGTTCTACTTTGAGGGATTCCCTATCCAAAAGCTACAATCTAGAGTAAGTCCAAGTTAATCTCCCTTTTCCAGAATTTCATCTGTGTGATGCAAACATTTTAAAGTCAGAATCAATCGATTTCCAATTTCTAACGCTTTGTCACAGGAATTTATGCAAATGACAAAGGTTATATAACACTTGCTTTTTGTCTCGAAAGTACTGAATCGATTTTACATGCATCCAATAAACATTGCAAGGCATTAAGTAAGCTGTGAAATTGCTGCGTACTTTTGACCAACGAATATATGTAATTCAGTGGAATTATGTTTAAGTTCGTAATCAGTATTTCGTTATCAACCAGACAGAATTATCAATTATGAGGGTCTTAGTAGACAGGGATACTTTTCTATGGAATTCGCGAGCAAATTTTGATAAACTAAATCCAAAAAATAACCTTCTTTTTCGTTATACATATTTCGTCATATTTCTATTTAATTTTTTGCGCGAATATAGATCGTAGCTGTGAATGTAAATTCCAGCTCTTAAAATGCACTCAGTATTTTTACCGCACATCCACTTTTGTGTTCCTCTTAGCATATAAGTCAGCATTATGCTTTCATTGTATACCCAAAAGAGCAATAAGTGCAAATTTTGTAACTGAAATTATGTGTAAATAGCGGATTTTTTTAAAGTGTTTGAACAAAGCTACAAGTTAATGAGCCAATTATATATTGGCTTTATTGGTCTGCAGACATAAATTCTGAAGACTACGTTGCGCGAGTAGTAAGGAAATTCAGAAACACGTGAAACTCTCAGTTGAGCTAGAGAAACACAACTACTATGAAAATAAATTACGCGTAGCGGGGAGGGATTGCAGGAGACAGTGGGCCATCATAAATGAGATTGCGGGACGTGAGAGCAAGAAAGCTCAGATTACACGTATGTGTGTCGCGGATGAGATTGTCGATGATGAGGCCGAGATCGCCAACCACTTCAATGATCACTTTGTGAACATTTCTGGCTCTGATTCGGCAGAGTTGGGTGGGGTTTCTGGGTCTGGTCTGTGTGCGCAAGCTCCTCGAGCCCCCAATAGTAGGTTTGATAGCCTTTTCCTGACGCCAATTTCTGGCTATGAAATCCAAAAACTGATAAACAATTTGGATGGCAGCAAATCCACGGAATATGATGGGTTAACTGCGGCGTGTGTGAAAAAAATTGCCCTCTACATAATTGACATCCTTAAGGTGCTGTTCAATCTCTGCTTAGAAACTGGATGTTATGACCCCCGTTTTCAAAAAGGGTGACCCCTTGGCCGCTGGAAACTACCGCCCGATCTCCCTTTTCTCCATTTTTTCAAAAATATTTGAGAGACTAATTAAATCGCGCTTGAACAGTTTCCTATATCGCAATAGAACACTAAACGATGCGCAATATGGGTTCAGAGAGGGACGCAGCACGGAGGATGCAATGCTGTTTGTCACATGCGAAATCTTTAAGACTGTGAACGCGAGAGGAAAAGCGGCAGCGATTTTTCTTGACTTAACAAAGGCTTTTGATTTGGTCTCACATGCGACCCTGTTGTCCACACTCGAGTGCATAGGCGTTAGGGGCATTAGGCTTTTTGAGTTGTACCTATCGGGAAGGCGCCAAATGGTCAGGATAGGAAATGTACTTAGTTCTGCACGCACTTTATATCGAGGAGTTCCTCAAGGAACTGTTTTTGGCCCCCTACTTTTCGTGATCTTTATTAACAATCTACTCTCTCTAGACTTTGAAGGCGAAATAGTTGCCTATGCTGATGATCTTGTGCTATTATATAGAGATGAATCGTGGTTTAATATGGAGAATCGTATGGAAAGCGATATGAGGGTGATGATGCGGTGGCTGGACGAACATTCTATTATTCTCAGTAACAAATCACGTGCAATGCGCTTTTTGCCATCAGCGAGTGAGGGTTTGTCCGACGAAATCAAGTGTCACTCTTGGAATTGCCAGGGCTCCTCTCCCGCATCTTGTATCGCCATCCCGTTTGTCAGCAATTTTAAATATTTGGGGGTCGTCTTCGATAGCGGGCTGACCTGGAGTGATCACGTGTTAAATCTTAGAATTGGATTGTTGCCGATCATCAACGGTCTCTACCATGTTAGCCGTGTGAGCCCTCTTAGTATCCCTCGTATGTTTTATAACGCCTGTGTGGACTCTCGTTTGCGATACGGCCTGACTATTTGGGGTGGAGGGCGAGCTGCGCACATCGGACCGGTCTGGAGGGCGCAGAGAAGCGCTGTTCAGGCAATTTTACGAAAAAGAAAGCAGGATTCGCTCTTCAAAGCATTTTTTGATCTGAATATCCTCCCTATATATTACGCGTATAAATATAAAACGCTGCGACTGTTTTTTAACAGAGGAGGATATCTCAATTCATCCAGATCTAGACCGGCCCGAAACGGAGTCCCTGCCATTGTTCCGCGCCCAAGGTTGGAATTGTTAAAGAGATTTTTCCCATATATTGCCCCCCTGTTGTACAATAACCTGCCTCTTGCCCTGAGACGCCCTGCAATAAGAGAGCACACTTTCTCTCGCGAACTGGCTGACCATTTGTGGTTGGAATACCTGTCGGTCAGGGTTGGTCACAACCTCGAGCCTCGAAATCGCGGCTCTCTGCTCTAGCGCACCTAAATGAGCTCCCGTCCTGGCCCCGTAGTTGCTGCCTGCATAATGTAGCACCTTAAGTGCACCAAGCAAACTAAAACTGACTTTTGTCACACTGCTGAACTTGAGCGGTCCCTTGCCATGTCTCCCAGACCCGCGAACAGCGCTTCAATTCCCACTGGGAATTTTCCTGTTCTGTTACCCTCTTCCCGTGTGCTGTGTGCGCCTAAAATTAACTAAAACTAGTTTTCACATATACATTGTAAGGCTGTGAACCAAACTGTTACTAGTGTAAGTGGCATACACGACCAATGAATCGAGTTTTCTGCCGTTTTCTCGGGGAGGTCGGCTCTGAAGTCGGCGGCAGATGCACATACAAAAGAGGCGAATAGACATTATAATTATATTATTATCATACACGATACGCTTGGTGAAGAAAGAGATTTGGAGAAAACACGTATTCTCCATCCACCCTAGGAAGGGGCATTGGTCAGGAATCCATTCTTGGTCCTTTGCTCTTCTCCATGTTCATTAATGATCTGCCCTCTGTCCTGCGTGGTTGCTCGTATCATCTGTATGCGGACGACCTCCAGATTTACGTAGAAGGTGATCCTTCAAATTCTTCCTGTGCTTTCAAACTTCTCAATGATAACCTCTCCCGAATCGGGCACTGCGTTTCGCCTAAATCCTAAAAAATCGCAGGCAATTATCTTCTCAAAAAGGAGTGCTAACTTTCCTTATTTCACCGTTCTTCTCAACGGTGAAGTTATCCCTTATGCGGATCAGATTAAAAACCTTGGTATTGTCTTTAATTCGACACTAACCTGGTCTGATCACGCCACCTCCCTTTGCCGTAAGGTCAATTATTCTCTATATGTCCTCCTGTAGACGCTATCGGCACATCTCGCCCTACGACACTCGGCTGCTTCTCGTGCGAGCGCCTATTATGCCATTCTTTTCCTATGGAGCAGAGCTATTCTTCCTGGCGGATAGTGACACACTCCGTCGGCTGACTGTAGCATTTAACAATTGTGTCAGGTACGTCTGCGGACTGGGTCCCCGCGATCACATTTCTGCCCACAGAGATGTGCTGGTGGGCTGCAGCCTGTCCTCTTTCCTGCAAATGCGAGTACTGATTTTCTTAGATCGTCTTTCCATCAGCGGCTGCCCTGGATATCTGGCTTCGCTCTTGACGAGGGGTGGTTCGACCAGGCTCCGGGGACGTCTTGTTCCTCGAGCTGAGCATGAGACTTTTTTCTGAACCCTCTTTGTCCGGGGGGTTTCGCTTTATAATGCCCTCCCGCGTGAGGCGCAAGAGACCGTGGGTGGCATCAGGAAGTACTTTCAGGTTACCGATCTAATCATTGACTCATCCTAAATCATAGCTAAACGTTTTAAAGTTTCATTTCTTTTTTTTTCTCACTTATCTGTATTATTGTTCTAACTCTTTGTCGATTCTTAGTCTCTTTTTTCCGTTTTTTTTTCTCATTAGCAAATTGTAAGAGGGTCAGGCCCTAAATTTTGCTCAAATAAATTGAATTGAATTGAATGACCTATATCAATTTTCAGATGACAAATACTGTGTTTCACAATTAGAATAATTCATGAATAATTGATCTCTTTCATCAATGCCACCCTTTTGCTTTGCAATATCAATAGGGTCGGTTGAGGTTTTCCACCAGGTTTTTATTAGACAATCGACTAATAAACAAACTCTCTTTTAGGTACTGCACTTGCATGTATTTGACTATGATAGATTCTCGCGTGACGATTCCATCGGGGAAGTATTTCTGCCTCTTTGTCAGGTAGATTTCACTGGTAAGCCGGCCTTTTGGAAAGCACTAAAACCACCAGCTAAAGACAAATGTGGTGAGCTTTTGGCCTCTCTCTGCTATCAACCATCGAGCTCCATTTTGACGCTATCGCTGATTAAAGCACGCAATCTTAAGGCAAAAGACATAAACGGAAAGTCAGGTGAAAATCTAGAAATTCTTTTAAATCTGTTCAATATCTATTTAATTTGCATCTATTTCGAATTTTTGTTATGGTTTTGTTTCTGAGTTGCGTGATTCTGCAAGGAAAATAATTCCCATAGATTGCTGTTCAGTAAAAACTAATCTGGTGTATTTAATTTTCTACTTGGCTGAATTCAGCTCAGTTCCGTTTAGATCGAAAAACAATTAGAAAGTTCGGCTCTCTGCTATTACCAATAATATATTTGTAATGTGAAGAAATCAGAAAGAAAACTTTAAACAAACAATTCATAACCCCTAAATTGTGTATTGTGTACAGGATTATTAATCTGTGATAAATTTAAATAATTGTAATGTTAAACTATTTGTGAACTTAATTCAATAACAAATTAATAAGACTGCAGTATCATAAAACAATTACATTCTGCACTTTTTGATGCTTTTTTCTCTATTAGATCCATACGTTAAGGTCTGGCTACAGTTCGGGGAAAAACGCGTGGACAAAAGAAAAACACCCATCTTTAAATGTACTCTGAACCCTATCTTCAATGAGGCATTCAGCTTTAGCGTTCCATGGGAGAAAATCCGTGAGTGCTCTCTCGATATCATGGTAATGGATTTCGACAATATTGGACGAAATGAATTAATTGGACGCATTCTCTTAGCAGGTAGGAAAACATGAAAGTTTTAAAGTTAAAGTATGAAAGTTATTTCTTAGCAAATTAAACCTTTTCCAGGCGTTAATTGCACTGAAAGGACATTTTGATGTGTCCGATTAGCTTTCGAAAAAAATTATATTGATTTTTCCAGGCACATGTAAGAAATATCTTATTGTAGGGAAAAACGGTTCCGGAGCATCAGAGACAAAGCATTGGCAAGACATGATTTCGAAGCCACGTCAGACAATCGTTCAATGGCACCGACTGAAACCAGAATAGATGGTGATGGACTCGAGGCTGCTTAGCGTAGTTGGGTAGTCCTTTCTTCTCTCTACATTCAACTGTCGAGCTGCTAAGCTCACGTTTGTTATTTAGCGACGATATAAACGAGAGATACAAAAATTAAATAAAATTATCTGACAATTTTATGGCTGATTGTATCACGGTTTATTGTCCTGCCCGCCCACTAAACAACAATCAAGTACATTGTTACTGGACAAAATATATGTGTAATAGTTTGTAAATGGTATTTAAATGAAACAAAGACAAAAAGGAAATATAATAATTATTATAAAAGTAATAATGCTAGAGTATATGAGGCACAAAAGTGTCACCTTATTCGTGTTGGCATTTGCAACGTATTCTAATCACTATATGTTTACAAAAAAGAAAAATATTATGATTGAATGTGTGAAACCATGAGTTTGTTTGTATTTTATTGTTCTAAATATGTTATCTGGACAGAGGATTCAATAAATTTTTACAGCCTGTATGGTGTCTCAGAACCACTAAATTTTTGCATGAAATATGTGAAGACGAGTCTTTTTCATATAAATCAAGGAAGCCAATTGTTGATCTGAAACGAATATGCAAAGAAAAGAGTCATTTCATTTTTAGATATACATACCACCAAGTACCCCGGTTGTTCTCAGTCATAGAGCAATTGTCGCTTCGGGAATTTATACTCGGGTATAGGAGGATTACTCTCACCTTCACGTAGTTTTCCGGGGCGAATAACAATGGAATATAAAATGACTTACACTGAACTAAAATAAAAAAAAACTATGCACAACATCACTGCAAACTTTTGTGCTGAACAAGAGCTGATCGATCTTCGCCTATCCAATAAGACCCTTTAGCGAGCTGAGGGCTGAGTCTTGGAAATGGTTTGAAATTCTTCAAAATCAGAATCAGTGAAAATTGACTGATTTTGAGAAATTTGCGAGTTTTGAGTAAAAATCAGTCAGAAACCGAGTCAAAATTGGCTGAAAATTAATCAACTCGTGTTGACATGAGAATATCGAGTCAACACGATTGCTCCATGTCACAATTTTAAGATTTTACTGCAATTAGAGTATCAAATGGACATCGATGGAATCAAAAATTAATAATAGAATTAATTTTTTTTTTAAATTATTTTTAATATTATATTTATAATTTTCCATATTACAGCTGAGATATAAGCGTTTCTTTTCTTGCGCTCGCGTAAGAGGCTCAGAGACACAGAATGTAAAACTTAAGTGGATATTTGGATAGAAAATAGTGATTATATTTTATAAATGTTATTATTCGTCATTTTCGCCACCCATTTTTTGCATTTTAACGATTTTAACTATTTTTCCTCCGAAAAAGAGAACCATAATAGGAGTTTGATGAAGTCAAATCTAACTCTGCAACCCGCGAATTTGTTGATTTGCCTTTCATTTGAACACTTTTGGTATGAAATGATTTCATTTCATGCGGCCTTCGACAAAGTGTAAATTTCTCAACATCACAATATTCCTACCTAGTCTCTGAGAGTCCCTCTTTGCAGTGTTGAAGTACCGATAATACAAATTTTATTATGTAATGCATAATCCTTGCCATACACATTTTCAGTTTTGAAGGTTGCTTTAATTGCATGGAATTTCCAAATTATTCGTCCTTTGCTTAGTTTTTAAGTCTCACAAATCAATGAACTGAACATGTGGACAGATAAGACAAAGCCAAGAGTTTCATCACAAGATGAACAATTGGTTGGACAAAAAAATTGATGGAGAAATTTTTACAAAGGGGGGGGGAGTCGAGATTAATCTCCATCTTCTGGGGCACCTCAAGATCGCCCGTAACAGTCTCATACTGCTCCTGGGATTTCTTGTATAACTGCAAGAGAATATCTGTGCGATAATAATACATATTATTCACATATTTGACGACAGAGAGTTAATTTTTGGCCCCCTTAAGGCGTGGACAGACACCCCATGACGATTCTTTGAGCTGAACTTAAAATTTCTTCAGTATTTTTATCATTTTCTGCCTCCAATACCGCAACTTGAGCCAAATCAAAACATCAAAAATACGTTTCTGCCTGCATTCCGAAAGCATTTCCCCTCCCGAAAAATTCCGAAGACTGATTTTGACTCAAGATCCACGAAATATATCCCAGTTGCGGTTCCACAAGCTACGTAAGGGTTTCAAGAAAGCGTTTCCGGCCCAGAACGCTTATGGGGAATTTACATTGGATGCGTTTCACTTTTTCCCGACGAAATGCTTTCTTGAAATGTCTCGGAGGGTATTCATCCCTTTTTTATTGTCCCTACACTCGGGCGCGAAGGGCAATAAACCTCGAACAAAAAAAGGATATTGCCCTCCGAGTCATTTCAGGAAAGTCTTTCGTTTTAGTGCAAGAAAGAATTTCATACTTACTACAGGAAACAATTTCGTAGTTCTATCAATAAATATTTTCGTTTTTATTGCAAGTAAGAATTCCGTAGTTATTTCTGGAAACAATTTCATATTTATTGCGTGTTTGGAATCCAATACAATTAAAATAGATATTTTTGTCCAAACGGCGGTGTCGATCATGCTGAATCTGACCACCTTTAGCACTCTCCGGCATCATCTTATCCCGGAATCCGTGAAATTTCCAGCGGCTTTATTGTCCATCTGAAAAATTATAAAATTATAAAATTTTACTGTTTATACGCGCAGAATTTAGATCAAATTTTCTCTCAATTTATTTTATAACAGCGTAGTCAATGCACATTTTGAAAATTAACCAAAATGTACTTAAATAAATGCAATTTTTTCTCACCTTATTATCCGATGAAAACTGATGAAGAACTGCACGTTTTGCATTCAACCACGACCAGAACTCAACTGATTCGACAACTCAGATGAGTTTTAGTGAAGGAATTTCCCAACATTGCTTCATCCCGACACCCGAGCCTTGTTTTATGACCTTTTTTCATAGTTTGCATTTTCTTTGTCTATTTTCTGTATAACAGATGTTTTATTGCACTATTTTTCTCGCTCGAACGCATCATGGAATTTTGACCGGTTTCAGGTATTACGAGAAATTCTTCCATAAACTAAACGGAGGCATTTCTTGACCACATTCGGAAATAGTAAGAATACTTGGTCTTACTCGTTTCTCCTCTGAGGGCAATCAGGTAGAGTGCCGAAAATTGGGTAAATTTTATTAGGGTCTGAAAGGTCTGAAATTTCTGTGGGTCATAAACTGGAGGGACACCAGTGGCTTATTCTATACATGTTTGATCTGCGAAACCAGAACGAAAGCATTTCTTGTTGGGAATCAGAAAACTGAAACCTTTCTCATTTGCATCATGTTCATAGTCGGAAGGCAATAAGGTATTATTGCTCTCCGATTGCCCTCAGAGACAGAACAGGATACAAATCCACTAGGGTTTCACATCCACTACCAATGAGTATCCGTTTCTTGAAACCCTTACGTAGCGTGTGGAACCTCAACTGGGTAATGTTTAGAGATGCCATATAATAATCTCTAGACATAAGTCTCATTACTGTCCGGCTATCTTCCATTTTGAAGTGTTTTGATTCAATAAAGTTATTCAATTCTTTCAAGTTAATAATAAACCCATTAGATCCATCTGGCTTTGGAACGCAGAATATTTTCGAGACAAACTGGCCAGCTTTTGCAAAACACTGCTCTATCGCCCCCTTATCTAATAAGTGATTCACCAACACCTCAATTTTACATCTCTCGGCAGTTGACCAATTTTCCTCTTCAGTAACTCTTGATTGGTACACTTTTCTACAAAAGGGAATTCTATATCCCTTGATCCATGACAAAACAACTTCATCTTTAACAAGGCTTTTCCATGAATCAAAAAGAAGAAGAATTTCTAATCTTCCTCGCGTTCTTCTTATATTTATCGTCGAGATGTTCATGATGGTCGATGGTCCGCCCTGTGATCCGGTGATCGACGACGATGATGAGGACGCTTCGGTGAACGATACTTACCGCGTCTCGGAGATCTCTTCTATTGATGAGAATAGTTCCTCTGATGCTCGCCTTTCTTCTTGTACTGAATACGAGACAGGAATTTGAAGTTTTTTGGCTTCTTCTTGTATCTCTTGATCTGCTTCCCCAAGCCGTTCATTGCCTTTCCAGCTTTCAACTCTTCAGCCATATCTTTTCCAAAGAGAAATTCATCAATCAATGTCTCATTCAGGGTGTTTATAATCTGCGCCTTCACATTGGACAAAATCAAATTGCGGCGTATCACTGAATCGTCGTGATACAGATTCGCAGCAATTTTCACCCCCTCCATCAACTTATCCAAAATAAACTGCCACTGATAAATATCTCGCTATGGTAGCTTGAATGAAGGCAGAGAGACATGCGGCCATCATATTCTGGCGCTTGACAATCTTGTCATCTCTTAAAACCACTGGATCAGGCATCGTTCTTTTGAACACACCATTAAGCTTTGGAGCAGCAAATGATGTAGCATTACTGAGCAGAGGGAGAATTGCTATCAATCCCTTGAGAAATTCCTCCATAATTCCTTTATCCACTATTTTCTGTGTTCTTGTAAGCAATTCCGAGTTCATTTCTGGTGCCAACTTCACCTCTTGGTGGTAATCCTCACCGAAAATCTCCATCTTCTGCTCGATTTGAGTCGATACGTACTCAGACGACTTATCAGTTGGAAACTGATTTTTATCTTCAGACAAAATAGAACGCAAAATAGAACGGCGGGACGGGGATGCCGGATGTTGGCAGCGCCTATGTTGAAAGGCCTATAGGCCTTGTCGTCGACTAGACGACTGTTTTAAAATTGAAACCGTTGAAAGTGTGGTTAATTCAGCACGAAAAAGGGACTTCAAGTTGTAATCATCGAAAGAGAAGGAGTGATGTAGAACTGATGATTGCCTCGCTCTCAACATCATCTTATGGCTCGCTCAGCGTCTTCCGCTGACTCGTCGGGTGGATTTTAAATCGCTCCATAGAGATTTTTCTTTTCCAGGAATCGACCCGTCTCAGTTTGTCGGCAATCTTTTGGATGGGTGAATAGTCTACAGATGCCGTTACACGAGAAGCAAGGGAATGTCCATCTCGCATCCCTTATTAATAATAAGGGATAATCCTACAAATCCTTCATTGTGGATAATCCTTATATATATATATATATATATATATATATATATATATATATATATATTTCACTGCAATTATTAGACCCAACTCTCCCTAATTGGCGAAGTGTGAAAAATACAAATAAAATTCCGATATGAATATTTTTTCTTTCCATGCAATAAATTTATCGACACACATACATAAGATATAACTATCGTGTACACGATTTTTCTGTGTTGATGACTAATTATGATAAAATGTGTTTAAAAATATTTTGATCATTGACAAAGCGATGAAAACCTATTTTCGAGAACGCAATAATGTGTAAATTGGGATTTTGGACGCAAATAGGCGATGCACCCTTTGACACAGAATTTGGATTGATGGTGGTGGTTTGTCAGGCACTTGGTGGTCGCGCAGCCACACCTACTGGACGCTATAAGGGTCGACGGTTCAACAGTTCGTGCGCTGCCAAGTCCATTTCTTCTTTGGTCATATCTAATGCTTCCTGCATTTCACGCGAAGTGTATCGCACAAAGTCAGCATCACAGTATTTGCCTAGGCCTTGTTCTACCAACACCTGATGATAAGAAAATGGCAGTCAGTCAACAATACTTACTGTATGATATAATTTTTACCTGACCAACGAGGCTTTCGGCTGATCCCACAACTTCCGTTGAGCCACCGCGCCTCTCACGTGGTGATCCTGGTGTCGAGCGTACCAATCTTTCCACTGTGAAACTGCTATTCATTTCATTATTGACTGTAAAAAATTAATATTTTCTAAAATTATTTGCCGCTCAAAGTGAAAATATATTAATTCAAATACTAATCACTAGCCACAAAAGGTTAATGAAAAAGATTAAAGAAAAAGATTCAGAATACCCAGTTAACCAATATAATTTGGTAAGACCTACTAGCGCCCTTAACCTACATCAGAGGCCCATGACGAGGTGGGGAGGAGAGACTGAATAATCATTAGTGAATAATCATTCAATAAAATACCAAAAATTATGGCTGAAGAAATGACGAAAATGAGTTTTTTTGGTGTACAAAATGTTGGATTGAGGAGTGGGTGTTGGATCTGATAACGCTAGAGTCTGGCGGTAGCACGACCTTCGATGGAAACTAAAAGCCAATATCATTTACCATTAAGTACTACAAATTATTATACTGCGGATGGCGAATGGACTGACGGACGGTCAAGTATTAAAAAATAACCCATGTCCGATTTTTGTCACATTTTGTCAAATTTAACTACTTGATGTAATTTCAGTCGATTTAGCGAGATTTGATTTTATACGCAGTCGCAAGTAGAGCTGACTGTTGCTTAGCTCTAATAATTCAAATGATGACAAACTGAAACCAAATATTTTCACTCATAGTTCTCTATACAAAAAAAAAACTGTTTTTATCACAATATACCATTGTGTGATACCATCAGTATCACACAATCTCAGAGATAAACAAAGAGAAACATTTTAGGGACAAAAAACGAACGAAGAGAAATGTGGTCATTCTGTCTTTTCAAATAAACCACCCACTAACCGTTAAATACACGGAAAAACTTCCTATTTTATGGAAGATGAAAAAACTCCGAAGATATTACAAAGAAAAACCAAAACATGAATTCTGTCACAAAATTGTACTTTTCTACTTAACACTTGGTTTTAAGCATCCCCAATTCACAGGCTCTAAACTCTCAGAACTTATTTTGAAACGGGACAAATCCGTCATATTAGTTAGTTAAGCAGAGAAGCCTTATACCCTTTTACGCCTATGGCGTAATTAATGCATGCCCATGTTACAAGAGCAATAATAAATGATGGCAACATAACAACATTTCAGCCCAGTTTTTGGCAATTTTCCGCCACGTGGAAGTTAGGAAATGTTCTTTAGTGGAAATGAAGCGCAATTTTCCGTGTTCCTCCGAAACTAATCTCAAGGAACTTCTGTACTTTTCGGCGATTTCCGAAATAGTATGCATTTTTTCTTTTATACAGATGATTTCCCTATTGTTTGTTACCTTACAGTAGTTTTAGAATATTGATTTCATTTAGGAATGTGAACAATTTAATAATTTCATTTTCGTCGTCTCCCAGTGCTATCTTAATATCCTTATTTATTTTACATTTAGTTCGGGCATCGTTTTATTTTATGCAATCAATTATTATGTGTTGGACAGTTATGATCGTCTTGCATGTGTCGCATTCTTCTGGGTCTTCCGAGGGACGTTTTCAACGCGAAGAATGCGTTGAACAGGGCGAAATTAAGAATCCCAGTGACAAGACAACTTCATCCGCGACAGTGCCTAACATTGGGCGTATTTCCGATGGGATTCTCGAAGGAGTCTACTGGTCAGATTGTCCGGGTAGATGTCTTTGTTGTGACATTTTAGTACAGCCGCATTTTCGTGCGTGTCACGACATGTACGCGTGAACAATGAATTGGATGAAAACTTAGCTTTTCATGTACTTGAAAATGAGTTGAGAAATCAATTTGTTTACTTGAAAAAGGCCGGAGGATGTGCGGACACACATAACCTTAATCTGATGCATTAAATCTACACAAATGGCCAGAAAAATCCAACAAATATGTGTTTATTTACATGAAAACAAAATTATTGTCTATTTACTTGATTTTCACGAAAATTTGTCGGCTTTTCTTGCCTTCAGGCGACTAAAAATATGAATCGACGTCAGGCAGCAACGTTTGAAATGTTTCACGCTTCGCAGAAGATAAATTCAGTACATTCGTACAATATACTAATCGTAATCTTGAAACACTTATTAGTAAAATCATACTTATGACAGCTTATTAAAAAATGGTATGAACGTAAAATTGTAAATACCCCGTAAACAGGTTCTATACATTCAAAATAATTGATCAAACATCTTCTTCGAATACGGTTCAATCTAAGTAATCATATAGCTTGTGTTCAAACAGTTATTAAACGCTAGTACTACTTGGAATCATAATTGGATTTACAGTTATGACTTTTGAAAGATATTTGGTCACCGATTTGTTTCATAACAAATCAAATTATAATAATATAAAATACCATTTAAATTAAGTGTTTCACAGAATGCTGAAGCAAATCCCATTTCCTGTATTTTCAGAAAAAATATATGTATTTTTTTAGATCCGTTATACCAATAAATAATGAAAGCGCCATATTCCTATGGTTAAGACTATGATTTCTCCAGGAAAAACAGGGCTGTCTGGCCAATTAATTATGGTTTCACGTGACTTTTCTCACCTTGATTAAATCTCTACGCATTATTTCACCATTTGTTTGTTATGAAATGCGTTTTTGTTTCTATTGCAAAATTTTTTTGGCTGATAGTTATCCTTGTTGCTACCCCTGTATTTTGTACTTTTCATAAGTCATGCTTACCAGATGACAAGTGATTAGGAGGTTAATATTCATCAGGAATTAAAAAATAAATTTGCAACTTTTTAAGCTAATTGCATTCCATCAATTTTTTTTTAAATATATGTATATTACGAAGTTCAAGCTGCAGCAGCGACACAGATGGCACACCTATGCCAGAAATACAAATTTGGATTTAAAGCGTTTTGGAGAGTCAATTTGGAGTTATATTGTCTTTTTACATTAACCAAGCAATATACTAAATTTGATTTTATAGTTACATCAGAAAATTAACTATTAAAAAAAAACGCATTTTCGGTGTGTACATTTATGAAAAACAGTGCAAACTGTAAGAGGAAAGCAAACCTCGTCCATGAAATGAGGCTCGGTGGTTGCGAATTGCATGCATTTCAATTGCTTCCGGCGTGAAACCAGCTACGAGCATCGCTTGATTTTGAGCCAGCCTCAGACCGCTAGCGATGCGACATACTCTGGCGACAGGTAGTAGAATTGGCGTGGTGCAAGACTTATCCTCAGCTATGGATGAGTGCCTGAGGATACACAGTTAGTTCACACCATGCAGGTTACCTCACATATCTAGGAAGCGCACTCAAGAAAAGATTTATACAGCACGTGCGCTTACCTATATAGCGCGACTGCCACGAATTCTCGGATTGCCTAAGGGTGTGGCAAAAGATTATCAAATTCGTGAAAAACGTATCATTTCCTCACATTGTCTGAGAACATGTGCTTGTAATTTTTTCCAGTATCCTTATTCAATTTATTTTTAAGTTATTCTGAATTTTGCATGATAATTTTGCCTTTTTGGCGATTGCTGGTTGATGGTAAAAGTATTTGCCACTCAATGTTACAGACGTGCAATAAAATCCGACCACAGCGGAATGCGAAAAATTTAAACCCCTTAGTAGGAAACGAGAGCAGTACAAGTAGTTGCTGTTAAATATTCCCATCTAAATAAATGCTTCATTGAATTGTCTTTCAAGCTCTAGTCTTATATTTAAGGTGGACTTTGTTTTAAACCTCTAATCGTTAGCTGGCAAATTGACAATATGCCCTCGTTAAAATAGAAATAACTCTAATATTTTCTCTAAAACCAATATGCTTTGTTGTGAATCACGTAAATAAGTGATTTTTGCATTTTAGCATATAATATAAGTTGGCGCGCTTTCGAAATAGAAGCTAAAAATAATTTGTACTGTGAAAACATTTGTAAAAAAATTTTATAATAATATATTCTAAAAATATATTTTTGAGCATATTGATATGTTGTATATGTGTTTTATGAAACTTTACCTTTCACCTATCCCCCAGCAATAGCTCAAACTCCCATAAGAAATACATTTAGAGGCCGTGGCACATGGCGCTGTCGTCGATTTACGGTGACAGATATGTGAAGAAAACCAACTGCTGTAATTGTGAGCTATTTGGCAGATTTAGTTACACGATTTGGGATGAATACAAATGAATGCTAAAGTCTCCCGACAGCATTCCTTCCCTGCATCGAGTGAGAATATTTGTGCAAATTGACTTCCAAGTGTAACGTTTCACAGGCAAGTGAGTTTACGTCTCAGTTCTCTCGTGTCTGCGCAGAGTTTTGAATGCCCGCTTTCATGCTAGGAATCATTAGATAGCTTATTTAATTGACTATCAACGTTGATCATTTGAGCGAATCGTAGATTCCAATTGGAAAGATACCAGCGTGAAAAGAAAATATTGAAATGATCGCGAGTGACATTTCGTGAAAATTGCGAATGTACCAGTAGACAATTCTCAATATAATTACGTGTAATTTTTCATCCACATAATATATTGTCAAAATCCGTAAAATTTGTATATTTTGTGAAATAATTCATGCTTAAACTTGCTCAGTTCCTGCCTAAAAGGCGATTCAAACACCGTCTTTGAGCAATTTTCAATCGAAAACACAAGAAACAAAGCTTTGACATGTCGAAAAACTGAAATTATTATGGTGAAAACCCAGCATTTGTAATTTGTCCACGATCATCTCTTTCTTCTCGATGCATATCGTGTATTTACCGTCCTACGCTGTCAGCGTACGACTCTAACATGTCGAGACAGCCACCGTGCGAATAGGAAGGAAAATACACGATATGCATGGAGAAGAAAGAGATGATCGTGGACAAATTACAAGTGCTGTGTTTTAACCATTAGAATTTTGCTAAAATTGTCAATGAATTATCTATATGCGTAATCCAAATTGCAACGCGATTTCAAACATAATTTTGATGGTTTCCCTTGCTCTAGCGTCTCTTGGAAGGAGTAACGAGTAGCAGTCGCAATGTTTGTGCCACGGGAATTGAGCTAATGCTGGGGGTCGCCCTACACCCTATTTACCTAATCCCTTTACTATCCCCACTTGTCGTGGACAAGTGTTAATTTTTACTCTCTTTCAAAAGTATTGCTGTTACTCATTAAGCTATCTGTTAGATTCTTACAGATCACAGAGGAAAACTACTAAACTTTTTCTAATATCCTCTGTAGCCGATAATCTCTATGGGTAGGACGTGTTAAAATCAAATCGCATAAATATTTGATTTCATTTGTTTAATTGAACTCACATAGACGCAGTGATGAGTAATGGTCGCATATGAATGTGCTCCACTGATTCTTCTGGTAAACGTTGCACATGATTAAGTCCATTAACAGAATGGTCCGCTTTTCGTGGTACTGATACACCGGAGCGTCGGCGTATAGAGGACCACATAGTACCAAAGAGAGTATGATTACGCCGATGCATAGGTTCGGGCTCTTCTGCTAATTCATCCAAGTTGCCTGATATAGCACGTTTAAGTTCAGGTCCAGCCTCATGCAAAGTTCGTAGTCCTGCTTGCAACGTCATTGTAGCATTATGATCTCGTTCGCCATCTCGCAATTCCTGCTCTTTGCGTTTTTTAAAACGACGAAAATAGTCCTGCAAACAACACAGAAAGAAAAATAAGTAGAAATAGTGACGAAATTGTCTAATTACGGTAATAATTGCTGATTTGAAGTTTTTTAATTACAAATTTGTACGAAATATTAAAAACATTAATGAATTTTTAAGAACTTTTACGTCCATCATTGATCACAGTTCTATCTCATCTGTAAGTGTGAGTGAAACAAAAAGATTTCAAGTACATTCATCTCTATAGCTTCGGTGACAGCTCAGTTGTCAAAAGATGGCGAAACAGAATGTATTATCATTTCGACTGTTGCCGTAATTTACTAATTGATGAAGTTTTTCACGAAAAATAGGCGAAAATGCACTTAGCGTGCTTCTTCAAGTGTGAAATTATACGTCTGAACACCAGACACTATTGGGTAAGCGTTTTCTTCTGATGAATTTGCTGCCTTACCAATACATCTTCACATACCGACACTTGTCGTTACGAATTGCGGCCTATTTTCTTTTCTTGATACACTTCAGGAAAATTTCTATATGACTGATGTGGACTAATTAGTCCTTAGACTGTTTATGTCAACTTTTTTCTCCTAAGATTGTTGTAAAAAATGAAAATCCAAGCAATTCGTTTTGATAATGGTTGATATTGGGTAGATATATCAGTAAGACCATCAAATTTAACAGAAGAAAATACTTACCAATAGTGTTCCAATAGTAATATGATACAATACTGCGATTCATTGTCAAAACACAGAATATTGAGAAAAAAAAACAATACAAATAACACACTTGAGATGCGTGAAATGAACATTTATCATTAAATTTACTTCTGTTATACTATCTATAAATAAGTGTAGTACTTTGATCAGAGTAAAAAGTAAACAGTCTGCACTTAAATTAATAACATACTAACCTGAATGAGAAAGGTGGCATAAAATTTGCCCACTGTAACCTCGTCTTCAACTCCGGGAGGCGGTACAACCTGATCCAGAAGTTTGGAACTTGTACGTTTCCAGATCTGTTTAATGGTTGCACGAAGTTCAGCATTAGCTTCGTCAATGTTGCCTTCCGTTTTAATTTTGAGGCTTGTGCGTACTACCGCAAATAACGTTGCGTTGAACAAAACAGTGCCGTCACTATTAAGTGGCATATTCATGCTCACTAATCGTTTGCATGCAACACGGTGTGGACAGAGTTTGCCAAAGCCAAGTGGTGGACTGATTTTACGTAGTAGAGTGACTACGTCCAGGTGCTTAATACGTCCTTTTGCATCTGGGTCGTACTCACTCCATAATCGGATAAACTCGTCTAAGTGATGAGGTCCCAAAATACTCCAGTCTCGGGTGAGATAATCAAAATTGTCCATGATTACCGCAACAAATAAGTTGATGATCTGTTAAAATAAACAATTTAAGGCAATAAAGCTAAGACGCTTGAGTATATAGAAAAAAGAATGTTTGTGAAATACTAAATAAGTACTAAAGTAGTCAAGTAAACATGACTTAGTAAGTGGTGCGCAGCCTTTTGTTACGGCAATATGTCAATTTTTAGTATCCAAAAATTCAGTCCTTGTCTCCTTTTTGCAAGGTAAGGTCTTATTTTGCATCTCAAACATAAAGCCAATTTAAACAACCTTTCCACAATTTTGTCCTAGATGCGGGAAAGTTCGCCTCAATGGCAACGGATACAAATTACGAAATTCTTTGATTAGACTGCTGACAGGATAAATAAATTAAACTAAACTAATCCATTCTGGTACAAGCATGTAGAAAATAACTAGGTTGAACTGCAAGTTAAACTCTCATGAATGACAATATGCATTTATTAAAACGTCCTATCACAAACGCCCAATATTACCGAATAATTGTATAATGCAATCTTATATAAATTCGATGGAGTTCACGATAAACCGTTGCTCGAAGAAATTGATACCGTAAGTAGTAAGCTCAGAAATAACTGATTTAAAATAAAGTTGCGTATCCTCTTTCATCGCCATATACCACTTGCTTCTTTTTGGTTTAAAATTTTTGACTCTTGCCAATACTTATCGATATAAATTCCCATTTATAGTACAATTTTAGAGAAAACAATAGTTAAATTTGACAGTCACGGTACTTATTAGCTCATAAAAAAAAATTCAACGACAAAAATTAAAACTCCAAAATTCTTAGGACTGTAATGTCAGACGGAACTTCTCAAGGCATGACTTGTTATGGATTACTATTAATACTTTTAATATGTTATTTAGAGAGATTACTTTTAAATAATAGAACATAACTAGGCCTTAAAACTTACCAGAAAAGAACAAAGAACGTAAAAGGAGATGAAATATGGAAATGCTATGCTTGAGCCACAACCCTCTTTCGAGCCACTATCATCTGATCTCGCATCACACTTAACCTCTCCCGGTCTCGAGCTGCAATCCATCATAATATCCTGCCATGCTTCGCCAGTGGCACTTCTGAAGAGCACAAGTACAGCTTGCGGAAAAGTCTGGAAGTTGTTGTTGCGGTGAATAGATGTCTCAGAATCAAGCGCAATTTTCCCAAACACTTGCATTCCAATTACGGCATAGATAAAGAAGAGCATTACTATGAGGAGAGCCACGTATGGTAAGGCCTGGAAGGACTTTATAAATGTCCAAAGCAAAGTCCTGATGCCTTCTCCGCGACTTAATAGCTTAACTAGTCGCATCACCCGGAAGAGTCGAAAAAAATTGATGCTGATAATACTAGAACCAGGCTGAAAGATCATTCAAACTATTACTTATATGAACAATTGTTTCTCACGATGTTTAAAAAATAAGTAGACACTTTCATTTATATGGTATGTATTAAAAAAACTGATAAAAAAATAGTTATCTAACCTTTACGCCCTGTCTTACATTCACTTCCGAGTACACGATATCAATGAAGCTGCCTAATACAATAATGAAGTCAAACACGTTCCAAGCGTCACCAAAGTAATTCTGTAAATATTTGACAATGAGGAAAATATCTCTTTTAAACGCATAGTAATAAAATATAAACGCTAAATTATTATAAATAAAAATTTAATCAGAAATTTTGAATCGATTTAGTGCGCATTGAAGTGCTCACGAGAAAAAAACTATCAGGTATTTTCACATTTCAGATGTCTGATTTGTAGCCCAGTAATATGTATGTGATGAGTGATTTTTCTATGGAAATCACTAGATCAGATACGCAGCAAGTTCTGAGTTTTTTTTGTAGATGTGTAACATTTTAATTTAATTTTAATTTAATTTATTTGAGCAAAATTTAGGGCCTGACCCTCTTACAATTTGCTAATGAGAAAAAAAACGGAAAAAAGAGACTAAGAATCGACAAAGAGTTAGAACAATAATACAGATAAGTGAGAAAAGAAAAAAAAGAAAAAGAAATGAAACTTTAAAACGTTTAGCTATGATTTAGGATGAGTCACTGATTAGATCAGCAGCCTGAAAGTACTTCCTGATGCCACCCACGGTCTCGTGCGCCTCACGCGGGAGGGCATTATAAAGCGAAACCCCCCGGACAAAGAGGGTACGAAAAAAGTCTCATGCTTAGGTCGAGGAACAAGAAGTCCCCGAAGCCTGGTCAAGCCACCCCTCGTCAAGAGTGAAGCCAGATATCCATTGTGTCATGGATTCGATGCATGAGCGACGATGTCACTCTCATTTTTTCGATAACTGGGAAGACCGCTTTTATCCGTCGCAGTGAACACCGACTAGACACACATTGAGGGCTTATTTTGTCTTGTGTCACTGAATTTGATGAGAAATAGCGGATTCTCTTCTATTGGACAAGTGTTTTTTACGGTGGCAGATTGCCAGTTTGCCAACCAACCGTAAGTGGTTCTAAACCCACCTTATATACAGGAAAGAGCGCAAGACAATTCCAGTGAAACGTATGTTTCATCTGGAACATTCAACAGCAACGACCATATGGGCGCTACTTTTTGCCATTGAGAGGCTTTATTTTTGCACTCTGCTGTGTTCAAACATTTGCAAGCGGTGGGATTTGAACACACGACTGTCACACTGTGAGTCAAACACGCTGACCACAGAGCCATAGCCACCTTCAAGTTCTGAGTTTAAATTTGGTATTATATATTGACACGTGCAATTTCCTTTTTCCAGAAATTTTTTTCAATTACTACCCTTAGGGAAGAGTTGATATTGCATCCCCTTTAAGGATCTAATCACTCATTAGTCAAATTGACAACTTTGCCAACCCCGAGAAGGTGCAATAAAACTATGTTTGATTTGTCACTTCAGCGATTGAATAATCAAATTAATGATAATTTTTAAACCCTATATGACTAACCTTAAATCTGAAGGCTGCCAACTTGAACACAAACTCGAGAGCGAAGACTGCCGTAAAGATCATATTCAGCACGTCAAGAGCTTCAGTGTAGAGATCTGGCTGCCGATAGAACTTCATTGCTAACGTTATGGTATTAATCATTATAAGAATGAATATGGTGTACTCAAAAGGTTGTGATGTAACGAACCACCATACTTTATACTGGATGCGGTGTTTTGGTATATATCGCCGCACTGGCTTTGCTTTCAGCGCAAACTCTATGCAATTGCGCTGGTTTTTGTCTAATTCACAATTTTTATACTCTTGTTCACCCTCGTTCTGGAAAGTTACGATCACAAAGCCCACGAATATGTTTACCATGAAGAAAGCGATTATGATTATGTAAATAATGTAGTAAGCTGCTACTATCGGACGAAAGTTGTGAATGGGCCCAAGATCTTCCTCATTTGAATCAATAGATACATAGAGAAGTCTGAAAAGGAAAAAATAAGTCACGGATAAATCCATTTTTTGAACTGTTAATGATTACAAACTGTTAGTGGTGATGCAAAGTAAACCTTAAACTATGTCAGCAGACTGATATATTCTCCGTGCAAAATGAACAATATTTAGCTTTTTTCTCTTTGCGTAAAAACTTAAATTCAAAGATGGATTGTCAAAGATTTACGAGAAAAATATCGAAACGCGTAAATGCGGTAAATTATCAGACTTAGAATTTTTGAGGTAACTAACACAAATAATTCATTTCGACTACTCAAACTGGCTGGAATGTATGTTCTTCTAAGTCATTGAAACCAATTTTAGTGGGCAAAAAGTCTAATAGACTAGAAAGCCTATTAAGAGTACTATTTAAATAATCTGGCCATTGTCTTTCGAATTAAAATATTTTTACTTCAAAACGGCATAAATATTTTAATACAGACATTTTATTTGCAAACTCAAAGTCAAAGTTATCAATATACATAAAAATGTATTTTCTTTTTACTGATTATTTCAGTAATTATGGCATTGAGGAGCTCCTATTTAATGACACCACGGACATTACTAATGCGTTCAGTCATCGTGAATTCAACATAACACATGATATATTTCTGGTTAAACACTTACCCAGGCCATCCTTCAAACGTAGACACAGTAAACAGGGTGAGCATGGCCTTCGATACATCATCAAAGTGAAAACGGTTTCGTGACCAATTTCGCTCACGCAATACGGGTTTATCCACATCGCCATTTTCAAATACCAAATATGTACCATGACATTCCGTTTCGATAGTTTTGCTGCCATCTGAGCACGAGTTGAACTTTCCCTATGCATATGTAAAAGAGGTCAGTTTATATATATATATATATATATTTTGTTCTAGAACCAAAATAGTAAACATGGATGAGACCTTTAATGTAATACATGCATTCATGCAATCCATAATGTACACGCCACAGAAAAGAACAGAAAATCTACAGCAACTGTTTGTGTATTTTGAAAAGTTTTGTATGTTTAACATGGAATAAATTCACGGTGTAAAGAATATATAGAGATTACTTTATACTCAAGACGAAAGGGGCAGAAAATGGATCAGTCTGTCTCACAAGTGGCATCATAAGAAGAAAGGAATGACGAATTTTGTATATGATATAGGAATTTTTCACAGTTTTTTGATCGCTTCGCTATGAGGAATTCATTGGCTGAGAAAAATGGGTGAAATAATGTCCTATTCTGAATTCTGAAGCTACATAATTGAGTTGGTCTATTTTTATAAGTTTATCTATTGATATAAGTTAAGGAATGGCTTATAGCGATATAATACTCAGAAAGTCAAAAACCAGTGAAAATATCCTATACAAAACTCGTTCAGTTCTTCTTATAACGCCTTTTTCAAGCGTCTTGTGAATAAGGCCACCTTACATTCCTTACACCATGAAGTACGCCATGGATTAATTGTGTCTCTTGGACTTAACGAGGAATTTTCACACAAATGAGTGTCAAATGTATTTAATACGCAGAATGTTTTCTCATCTTATCATTGAGTGCGATATTTTTGACATGAACAGTTTTTCATTTTTTAGCTTAAACTCGTGTTTTCACAAACCAAAAACTTTATCTGAAAAAAGAATTATCTAAATGTACATAAAAAGGGTTGAAATTTTTTTTTTAAACGACAATTAACTGATATTTCTCATCTTTGAGCTCATTTTCCTGTTTTTGATTCTGATCTAGATTTCATAACACAGGCAACAATAGTTCTTGTCTTCGGATAATTAATGGCTCTGTTACTTGAAGTCGCCGTTTCGGCAACTTCTACGCGGGAATTTTAAACGTCACTAATGGCAGTAAACCGAGCGCCACCGGGTGAACATAAGAAGCGGCGAAGGATAAGCTTTAGTATTCGCGCAGACAACAAAGTATCAAGATTGTGTGGATGAGCAGGGATATTTAGCTAGTGAAATAAACAATTTAGTGGGAATATCATTGACTTGTTTCATTCGCTAACAGGCTCATTTCAACTCTTAAGGCCTCATTACAGCACTACGATTGCTAAAAGTACCGTGGGTTTCAAAAGGTCCGCCACTTAAAGACCTAGGACCTTCCGGAACCTAGATATAAGAGTTCAGATTTCAAAAATTAAAATGGCCATAGCTCCGCTTCTAATTAACCGATTGGAATGATTTTGCATTCAATGGGACGGTCTTGTAAAATGCCATCTCCCACACGGGCAACATAACTTGGTAGGACCACTGTTAGAGGCGCTAAAGTCGGAAAAACCATTTTTGAAATTTCGAAGACGAATAACTCGAAAGCAAAATCATAAATTTTCTTTGAATTTACATATGTTGTAGCTGAGGTCGAGACCTTTCCATTGAACCGTTACTTTTAGGGCCCAATTCATTAGGTGCGGAGATATGGAAGGTCAAAGTTCACATCTTTACCGACCCATATCTCCGCTGTTTACCAACCGATTTTGATCATCTCTTCACCAAAAGACGTGTCTCGACACTCTTTTGTAGGCCATATTCACCATTAGTCTGTGACGTCATAACAAATGTCGCCATATTGAAAAACCTTCGAACGCCTGTATCTCGGCAAATAGATCATAAATTTTCTTTAAATTTTAGTATATTATAGTCCAGGTCAGAACGTCTCTAAAAATAGGTTATATGTAGTTTTTTGTGGATGCAATAGAACCGAAGTTACGACGGTTTCAAATTTTATTTGAAATGCGCTGTAACTTTGGTTCTATTTATCCGATCTTAATTATTTAAGGCTCGTTGGAAATCTCTTGCAAAACTCTACGACTATTTGGAAAAACAGAAGATCATCAGACCACCGCCTGAGGCGCTAATGTCAATAACAAAATTTTGTTCGCAGGTCACACTACTTTGAGATCATTTTTTACATATTGCGATAGTCCAGATCGAGACGTTTCCAAAATGGGATCAAACTTTTCTATCAAAGCCATAGAACCAGAGTTATAACTGTTGGATTTTCAGGACTTGGATTTCATATTGCATATGAAAATTTCCATGCTTTCTTTCCTTCAAACTAAATCGAGTTGGTTACGGAAGAGAGAAATTTTTATATTTACTTTATTTATTTAATTACATGAACTACGCCTATTGCCTTATTTCTCTCACCACTGGGCAAGATAGTGGCTGAAAAAAATTATCCAACCACTTGTCTTGCCCGGTCTCGTACCAATTTTGAACTGAACCAATTTTTGAAGAAAAGCCCTAAGGAGGAACATAATTTTCAGAACAACCTTGCCGAACTGACCACTATTAGTGGATTTTCAATGGATTTCAGAATTTGTCTACAAAATTGTACAAAGTTTGCAGCTTGCTATACTGTGATTGAACATTTTCCATTGTTTGCTACACATTTCGCAGTGACTTTGAGAATCTTGTTGTGAGAAATGTTTGGCCACTAGCTAGACCCATGCTGATTATAGTTTTGAAAAAACCTAAACACAGCCACAAGCATACATTTCACATGTGCTTATCCACATTATTATATTTGAATAGATAGATAGATAGATATTTATTATTAATAACCGTGAATTAATAACCGTCATTTGCCACTCTCTTCACAAAGCGTTTTATGCATTTCTATTCAATTTCCAACGACACGAAAACTATAGTGGTAAAATTCATATCACAGGAGAAGAAAGAGAAATATGTGAAAGGCATGTTTAAGGAAAAAGCAACTGACGGTTGCTTTCAAATTCAAATGTGAATTGTGGTTTTTTATCAAAAGTATATGTCGGAAAAGTGGCATCTATACTTCTAAAGAAAATAAATATAACCTTTTTTATCTCGTCAAAAAACGCACTTTCTAAATATATTAAACATTATACTGTTTACTATATTGTTATAATTTGTGACAATTCCTCGCCATTCAGACACAAGAAAACATCTCTGCTGTGGACTTTCGTACCTTGAACAGTTGCACTCCAATCACGGCGAACATGAATTGCAGCAAATATGTCACCAGCATGATGTTGCCAATGGTTTTAATGGCAACTATTACACATTTTACCACATACTGGTGTATTGTAAATGTTGTATCGCGAGGGAGCGTCTCTCAGAGGGATAACGAAGTGTGAGGATAAGTTTGTGTTTTATGTTTATGGAGGAATATTATGAGCGGCGTCATCGATGAATATTCACCGGGTTGAATGTGAATGCATAAGAGAGCAGAAGAGAGAGAAATTGTGTAAGAATCATAGAGAGAGAAGACAAGCCATGTAAGAACCACACGAAATTGGCAGGAATCGCATGACGCGCCCTGTATTGAGCTATGTATATCTCATTCTTAAGTCTTCAAAAGCAGAATAAAGGGTACAAACATTGCACAATGTACATATTTACACCTGTTCCATTTGTGCACTTGACAGAGGAAATATAACAAAAATTCGATTGGGGAAACACGGCAGGTACGAAGAGTGACATTTATCTAAGCCATTTGTAAAGCACATAAATTATTGATCCCCTATTTAAAATTACCACACATACACATACTCACGCGCGCGAACACACACACACACACACACACAATAATTTTACTTAAATAAAATTCAAGTGTGGCTTAGACTTAGGACAGAGTAAAACATAACACAGAGACGAGTGGAAAGGGACTTCTGAGGTTCCGGAGACTACAATCGGAGCACTGCAGAAAGTTGGTCAACCATTCCGTTAATATGTTCCGTGAGGGTGTTGTATAATATTAAATAACTGGATCAATTTAGTCATAATGGTGAAAACACAGCATTTTGTTCATACCATCTCATGTCGGTCCCGTCCGATTCCCTTTTGAATTTTGGTCTGCAGATCAACCTTAGGCGCCTTCACACAATCTGATTTTCTCCACAATGATGGCTCATTATGAACGAAATCAAATTATTTTTGAGTTTATTCCACACTTAAATTCATTTCATTGACGATTTTCTCGATTTTACATATAAAATTTATCTATTTTGACAGCAATCGCATTGTCAGACACATCAAACCCAAATTCAGCGCGGGTGCCCAACGTGAAATCTGCAGGCACACACTCGACATAAAAATGTCGTGAGCAGGAAGGAAAATACAAGATTCGCGTGGGGAAGAAAGAGATCACCTAAAACAATTGTCCAATGACAAAAGCTGTGTTTTCACCATAATGGTGAAAACACAGCATTTTGCTCATACCATCTCGGCTCGGTCCCGTCAGATTCCCTTCAGAATTTTGGTCTGCAGATCAACCTTAGGCGCCTTCACACAATCTGATTTTCTCCACAATGATGGCTCATTATGAACGAAATCAATTAATTTTTGAGTTTTTTCCACAATATAAATTCATTTCATTGACGATTTTCTCGATTTTCCATATGAAATTTGTCTATTTTGACCATTTTGACAGCAAGCGCATTGTCAGACACGTCAAAGTCAAATTCAGCGCGGGTTGCCCAACGTAAAATCTGCAGCCACACACTCGACATAAAAATGTCGTGAGCAGGAAGGAAAATACACGATTCGCGTGGGGAAGAAAGAGACGTTCGTGAACAAATTACAAATGACAAATGCTGTGTTTTCACCATAAGGAACAAGGGTTTCAAATAGTACATTGTCAAATGAACAGGGAGGTATATTATTTTAGGGCAAAAGTTTGCTGGAACTGCTGAAAATTCCAATCAGGAAATATGTTCTTTGTTACGCTTCCTAAGCAACCAGTCGCGACTTCGACTTTGGGGCTTTTTGAGTTCGCCCTCGAGACGTCCAGTTGAGGGCTTGCTCAGGACTTACAAATTTGTCTAGCCGAGGCGTAATCGCTTTGGCTCAATCAAATGTGTGCAACTTTTCTCAATTTTTCCTATTTTCACGCATCGCTGTGGCATTACTAGGACTTCTGAAACATTAAAATGCGCGAGCAAACATTTCTGTGCCATTTGCGAGCATAAATCAGAGAAAAAATGCCACAATTGCTAAACGTTTAAAGTCATTACACAAGCGTCCAAACATGTATTTACAGCCCAGTTAACCAAAATAAGCCCTGAGAACGTCCTCATAAGCCGTCCGGAACCCTCACGACGTCTTCAGATTCACCTGAAACACGTCGAACGATTTTCCGTGGGGATTGCGGCGACTATCTGAGGGCTTTGACGATATTTGCCCAAAATTGCCTCTCTATCATGGACACACGACCAATAATGGTGACGGTGATGTCAAAAAGTATTCGACACAATCGCTCGCTGGTGCGCATATCTAAATGCACAATAAGAGTATTTGCTAACTCTATTCGGCGTCTTATCTGTCGTCTCGAGCACAATTTTCAGCCATCTCGAGAATATTATATGGCATTACCGGCATTACAAAGTATCCGATTTCTGTTATTTCTGTGATAAACGTTATCGTGCTGAAATGCTCGGACGGTAGAGAATATTTCAATACACATTTTAACCCAAAAAAACATTTATATTAAATAATATTATTTACTGATATATTTTTTTTTGTTAGATCCCCACAGATCCCTACAGATTTCCATCTGTATTATATACAATAAGCAATAGATAAGGCGGGTGGCGAGAGTAGAGCATGAATTGAGGACTGTACAGTGACAGACTCAACAAGATAGACTTAACGTTAACAGACTTTACATTATAGGCAAAGTCAAAGACTCTTTGCCTATTTAGTCTTCTCCTGGCTCTGACAAACAGGAGGTTTCTGGTGAGGTAGTTTGGATGCAGAGACAATCTCTCTCTTTGCTTCACAGCATAGCGGCGTATTTCCTCCTGGACAGTCGGCATTTGAAGGTCGCTCCTGATGAGGGAGTTCGGCACGTACCACGGGGCATCCACTATCATTTTCATCACCTTGTTCTTGAAACGCTGGATGATGTCTATTATTGAACGGCCACTGATCCCCATATTTGGATGTCATAAATCCAATTGAGTTTTAGTATCGATTTGTGAAGGATCAGTTTGCTCTCCATGGAAAGTTGCGACTTACAGTACAGCTTCGCCAGTACAGCTTGCGAAGTGTTCCACCAACGTGAAGCCTCTTTATCATCAAATGCTTCCTTCAGGTGAAGGCGTTTGTCGAAATGAAATCCCAGATGTTTGGGGGAATCTGATTGCAGAACAGGCTCGTTGTTTAGCAGGACTGGTGGGCATTCGCCACTTCTAATTGTGAAAGTGATGTGCGAAGATTTTTGGGCATTCACCTTCACCTTCCATTTGCGCATCCAATCTTCAGAAATTGTTGTACAGGCTTGCAATTCCCTGGACGCAACCACAGAAGACTCATTTGAGGTCAGGTGAATCGTATCATCCGCATAAATGGCGCACAGAGCACTACTACTAGTAGGCATATTTTGGCTAACTGGGTTTTTTTTATGCGCATTTCGGGTCCTAATATGCACCAAAGTAAGAGAGAAGATTTCCACTTGCTCTCTCTATTACATTTTTCGTCTTTTACTGATTATATCATCAGTATTATCTCTATACTAGAAACATTCAGACCATCCCTCTGACATAGAGGAAAAAAACCTTATCCTCTCTATTCGACTCGAATATGCACGACTCACTTCTCACACCAATCAGTGTACATTCTGTAAGTATCGCAGAATGTATACTCAATTGCAGTCTCTCTGCTTGGCACTACTTGATTCATTCCGACGATCGACAAATTTTATATCCATTCTTTACATAGGACAAAAGGAATGTGATCAATTTCACACACACAATTATCCATTCGCTGTAAGTATTTTTCGGCCAAGAATTGGTGTTCGACAAATGGCCGGAAAATTGTTCGGAAAATGGCCAATAAGCTTCAACTAAGAGTTGAAGCTTATTGCCATTTTCTGTACATCGTCGATTATTCATTTCTGTAAAAGGAGGAAAAACCTATAAAACGTCGTTTACGGACCGTAAATGAATAAAAGAGTGAATAGAATTTGACTATTACGTATTTTCTTTTAAACAAAATAAAATTTTCTTAATTATGAGTTTTTTAAACAAAGCTGGGTCTAGTTGCATGTTTAAAAGAAATTTAAATGTCACTTTTCGCTGTAATATGCCGTTGATATAATACAGGTGATAGCAAGTTATGATGTGATTATCAATATCAAATTATGGCTTCCTCTTTTCGTAGAGATAATAAAATGATCTAAGTTTTTTTAGCAACACACGCACACATAAAATTGTAATGACGGCGGATGAAATGACAGAAGGGGATATTACCCCAGAGATTGAGAGGGAGCGAGAAAGAAGCCCAATTTCGGGTATCATCAAGATGGCTCTAGCGCCTACCTTAAACAATTGCACTCCAATGACGGCGAACATGAACTGAAGGAGGCACGTAACAAGAACAATATTGCCGATAGTCTTAACGGCCACGATTACGCACTGGACGACGTGCTAATGAGCAAGAATTGGGTGATTTGAAAAAGAGAAAGACAGAGAGAAAGAGAGCAGAAACAGGTGAAACGTTGACGCGACCGAAACGAACGCGCCGAATTTTAGGGATAACCCTTTTCTTCTGGTTATGGCATCGCAGTTTATATGATTTGGCACATACCTTTAAACCCTTCGCTCGATTTATGGCGCGCAGAGGTCGTAGAACACGAAGAACTCGCAAAATCTTTACCACAGATATGGCACCAGAGCTAAAATAGAAGAGCAAATATTTATAATTTAAAGAAAAAATGCTAGGCCCGAACTTCGAGTGTGTGTGTGGAACAATAGGAATGTAGCTTTCTGCAGCTAATAAGTTTGGTAACGCTCTTTCAAACTAACTACAATTATTTTTATACTCTAAATTCCTTTGTGACTTACCTAAAAAACATGGAGATCAGAGACACACAAACAACTAGGAGGTCTAGTAAATTAAAAGCCGAACGACAGAAGGCACCTTTATGAAAGACGAAACCATATGATATAAGTTTAAGCAGGAGTTCAATTGTGAAGACAGCCGTGAAGAAATAGTCGAAATAATTGAGTATTTGATTTCGCTCGCTGCCCGCGTTCAAAGGATCTTCAGCTGCCAACATTGCACTGCTGAACATGATGCAGGCCAAGATAATATTTCCAAAATGACTATGATTGCATAACCAGTGGCAGAAGATACGGAATCTGTTGACAAAGAATAAATTAAGGCACATACAGTTAAACCAATTATTTTTTTTAATTTGTTGCCAAGGGGCTTAAGATTGAAGTTCCAGAACTATACATATAAATATCGTTTATATCAATTCCGTGAATTTAAAAGGTGAAACTTATATTTCATTCAAAATTATTAATTGTAAGGTAAAATTTATTTCTATAAACTGACTACACGCTCCGCATATGTAATATGTTTTTTTCGGATTATTTGATTTTGAACTTTCGAAAATTGTTTGTGTGATCTCAGCGTCCCTAGGGATAATTCTATTAAAATGTTATGTTTTTATGGAAGCTGGCCCGTACCGAAACTTTTCCAAAGAGCAAAAAACAAAAAACAATCAATTACACAAGGAAATTTCTGTCCCCTTCATAAAATGTGTTTTTTTTCAAGACTCTTTGGGTCATCAGCTTTCCAACAATGCCGCACTTGACCCCTAGACCCTAAGGTTCTCCTCCTGGAGTTTAAAAATAAGATCTCGAAAAGATCTAGATTCCTTAATATGGGTTCAGTGAAAGGATTTTGATGTCAGGTTTATCCATGGTGTTGGCACTAAGTAAATAAAGAACATATGTTTTAGTAGTGTTCAAAATTGTGGAAGGAGGAGTTCGAATTCGCAATATAATCCTCTTCTAAAACGCATACTTTGAACCTTTGGTTGAAATCGCATGATGATATCTCTTACCGTTTAGGCGGTACAGATCTTATTATGATGAAAAACGGACGGATAAAAAATAACTCCACTGTTCGCCATTTATAGCTTCTCTGATGACACTTTAGGCAATTTTGCGTGATTTGATTTTTTGGACGAAAACAAAATAGCTGTGAAATGAATCCCAGTTCCTCAGAAAAGCTATTCAATGGCAAATTGGAGCAGGTGAAACGATTGTTCTTGAATGATTCAATTTAAACAAACATTTCACTGGAATTATCCTTCACGCTCTGTCTATATACACATAGTAAAGATAAAGATGGACTTTTGAGTCACTGGTCGGCAAACTGTCAATCTGCCACCGTCAAAATAATTCTATCACGAATATGGGTTCCACAGGAGAAAACTTTCTCCCTCAATGAAAAGTAATGCCAAATAAGATAATAATGCATTAATTTATAACTTCACACTATTCGATATTTTGTAAACTTTCACTTTCCCATTTGACATCTTAACCTAACAAATACAAATTTATTTTATTTTGTTTGGTTTACTGGGTTATTGTCTAATTCATTGACATGAATTGAAATCATATTTGAGAATATTTTTATATAACACCTCTAAATGATACTTAACTGAAAAGGTCAAACCATAGGATATTGGGAATAATAACATGGATAAATACAAGAAGTCAACTTCAAATATTTTTATTGTTTTGGTATAAATTTTTGTGTGAAAACATAAATTTACTCAGTTTTAATGAATAGTTAATGTATTATTAACCCATTACAGGCAAACGTTTTTTTTTAAATAATGGACAGATTACAGGGTTTTAGTTAATCACGCAACAACTGTAAATAATAATGGAGAAACTAGTAAAAATCACCTGTTCCTTTGAGAAAAGATGAAGAAAGCCGAAGCCGGCGGTATTGGTTGTGTTTGATTTGGCATTTGATTGATATCGGAAATTCGGCGTGGTCGAGCCGAAACCATGGCGCGTTCATCGCCACCTGTGTGGGTTTTGATTGATCCTATTTTCTTAAACAAAACTTATTCAGTCAGACCTCTCTTCACACCTTTTTTATTGAACATATGGTTTGACGGAAGAGAGGACGATATGAAATTGTAGTGTGCGAGAGAGAGAGAGAGAGGGGGAGAAAAAAATGTGTCGCAGGTGATTTTTTACTGAGCAAAAAACTCATTTCGGTAGCCAATTTACTGCGACAATTACCTGTTGGTGTTCGAAATAATGAAGAAGGCTCTGCCACGTGGAATTGCCTTTTTCACTTTTCGGATGCTCACATCTGATAGGCGTCGCGGACGTGCTGTTGCTACGTTCTGATGACTGCTGATAACTTCCTCCTCTTCTGCACTCCACGGGAGAGATAGACACACATTTTGGGGACCAAAACTCTCTCACACACTGAAACCTACCTTCCATATTTTCTTCAACCTCTCCATTTTCTTGTAGGCGCATTCGTGTTTCAGAAATTGTCTCATCTTCATGATCAGAGCTGCAATTTGGAGAAGATATGCTTTCCTTTAATAACAGTATTAGATACATTTTTAATTTTATTAAAATAAGTTGAATTACAAGTTATATTTAACTGAGAAATCTTCTTACAGCTTATCCAGAAAACTATTATTTTTATTTGAACACTAATTGGGAAATATTGCAGTTTGGGGATAATTTTTTTTTTTTTTTGGGAATGGATGAGGTGAGACCTCGTCCACCTGAGAGTGACATTTCAGCCGATCCAGAGGAGACCATAATGCGATGGGGAAAAGTCGAGAGGCTTGCATACTTGAAATTTAATTTTTACGTTATAACTTTTACACTCAATTCACTTGTTAAAGAATGGTGACTTTGTACTGCCCAGAAAGGTTCTCAACGATACCGTTCTCAGGGCACTGCCACAATTCCTGTCTTTCTCGCAGTTTACTTTGTATAAAGTTTCGTCCCTACACGAAAGGCAAAACAACCACGTCTGTTCTTTATGGTGAAAACACAGCATTTGTCATCTGAAAATTTGTTTAGGTCATCTATTTCTTCACCACAATACGCCTACCCTATGATACATTCTTACTCTCACAGTGCCCGACACGGTTTGTCTCTGTCACTCACTGACACAGACGCCATGGAAGTAATATTTTCCCGCAATAAATATTTGGGTGAGAATTAAATGAAAACGTGTCTTAAATGCACACATTAATCAAATATATATATATATATATATTCCTTCTATTGAATTAAATATTTCTCTTAAACTATAAGTTATGTGTTATACAAAGTTACTCACAAATTCTCTGTTCCATCGAATTCATCGCCAAGGTCGTCAACGTCCAGAATCGGCGATGGGCTCCGAGATGGCTTTGAGCCACTGGGTTTCGTCTCATCTGCTTCTTCATTGCCCTCTTCCTTCTCAATGGTCGTGAGAGAATCGGCATCTGCGAGATTGTCCACGGCGATAGCCAGGAAAACATTAAGAAGAATATAATTGCCGCAAATAAAAAGGATGATGAAGTAAATGCATGCGATGATGCCGATAGAAGCTACTCCACCGTATGCCTGAATACCATCGTACATCACTGTGTTCCAGTCTTCTCCAGTAAGGATCTGAAATACAGTCAACAGGCTTTGCCAAAAACTGTCGAAGTTTGATCGTGGTTTGTCCACTGTGCTATTAAAATTAAATTTTCCACCGAAAACCTGCAACGATTGTAAAAATTCACACAATTAAAATGATGAATTCATAGTTTGCTAATTTGATTAAATTTAATTTTTCAGAATCACAAAGACATAGCCATACAAACACTCACTCTTAAAGTATAATGAAATAATAGCTATTATCTAAATTTGTCGAAATACTGAATGTAATGCTTTGTGAATTCTGTAATACCAACTAAGGTAATAAATTAATTTTCAATGCTGTTGCAATATCATTCAACGAGAAATCTGTACATGAAGAATGGTAACGGCGTGTTTTCTTTACATGAATTGTCTGTAAATGATGTTTTTGTATCTGATTTTGTCACGTATGCTGATATAGGGAGTTGGAATTGACTGTAGCTTTTCATCCGTTGCCAACTTGAAATGTAAAAATTTCAATTCGTTTCAATTAAAGATTAAATATATTTCATTCTGGCAAAATTTAGGGCAACACTCTTACAAATTCACCACTTTAAAAAAAAAACAAAAAAGGTAAAGTAAGAACAACAAATTTATGAAAGAATATAACAGAGAACAACAAATGTGAAGAGAAAAACAGAGAAAAGAAGATTTTACAGAGTGAGGAAAATCTAATAAAGACTAAGTAGTATGATCAGTCTGAAAGAACCTCTTGATGCCCCCAACAGTCTCGTGCGGGAGGGCGTTATAAAGTGACACACCTCTAACGAAGAGAGTGTGGAAAAAGGTCTCATGCTCGGCTTTAGGGACGAGAAGTTCCCGGAGCCTGGTCGACAGATGAGCCAAGCGTGAGTAGTTCAGCCAAATATTGGGGTTGACGTAAACGAATTGTCCGAGAAATGAATTCAACAGCGCGTGACTTGAGGAAAAGAGGTAGAGTTACATCAGCCTGTCCAAGTACAAGGTGATAGTATTGAGACACATGATCGAAAGGCCGGAGATTAAAAATAAATCTAATGCAGTTGTTGAATGTGACAGTGAGGCGATGCATAGAGGCTTGATCGTAGGAAAAGAATAATTCAGCACCATAGGAAAAGACGGGAAGGAGAAGGGCACAGACTAATAACAGCCGAACGCCCTGGGGAAAGAAGAGCTTGTGCCTTCACCTTTTTACATATGTGGGAAGTGTGGTCGTCCCACGCCAAAGAATCATTGAAGATAACTCCAAGATTCCTGGCGCTATGGACGTAGGGAATTGCCTCGCCATTGAGGAAAATGGGGAATGCGGTGGGATGTTGCTTACCAGAGCGTATGAGTAAGGCTTGCGACTTTTTGGGGTTAAGCAGGAGGAAATTCTCTACTGCCCAGTTAGACACAGAAGAGAGCAGTTCATTACATACTGCAACCCACCAACACATCTTTGTGGGCAGAAATGTGATCGCAAGGACCCAGTTCGCAGACGTACCTGACACAATTTTTTAATGCTACAGTCAGTCGACGGAGTGTGTCACTATCCGCCAGAAAGAACAGCTCTGCTCCATAGAAAAAAAAATGGAATAATTAGCGCTCTCGCGAGAAGTAGCCGAGTATCATAAGGCGTGATATCCCGATATCGTCTAAGGACATATAGAGAATAATTGACCTTACGGCAAAGGGAGGTGGCGTGATCAAATCAGGTTAGTGTCGAATTAAAGACAATACCAAGGTTTTTAACCTGATCAGGGATAACTTCATCGTGAAGAAGAACAGTGAAATAAGGAAAGTTTGTGCTTTTTCGAGAAGATAATTCTTGATTTGATTTATTTGATTTAAATTGTCGACATACTTACAAAATCTTATCAAAAAAGCTTGAATATCGAAAAGATTTTCAGACTTCAAAATTGTGAAGATATTTTTATTCACATTAGCGCTTTAAACGCTATTCACACAGGCTTCTTATTATTCTATGTAGGTTTGGAGTTTTATAAAACCTTTCAAATGAGCCCAAGATTATCCAGATCACACAAAAAGAACCAATGTTATGACGTGATTGTCCGGTGTGAAATAAATATTATTTTATTATATTTGGCATGGATGGATGTTTGAGATGCCCGTAAGCATAGCTAGCATCTTAATTGCTAGTTCGACACGAACTTTAAATGAGACGTAGGTTATATGATATTAGTAGTGATTTGCGCGAGAAGAGTGCATTAGTTGCCACGATAAAAAATAGGATTCAGAAGAAGGAACGAGAGGAGATTATTGAAGAAGAATATAAGAGATCGATCGAGCAAACTGGACTATCGAAGGCATCATTGATTTCTTGAATCATTTCTTGAATCATTTCTTGAATCATTTCTTGAAGCGAGTATTCAAAAGTGAGTGTTATCAAGTGGAGCAGTAAGGCGTCCTCAATACTAAATTCCTTATTCTAAACTAATTCTCCTAATTTATCACACAATACTCTGTGTTGAGCACATATTCTCACATTCATTCTCAGGTAAACAACCAAGTATACACACACATTCATGCACGAGACAACAAAAAAACAATTGGGTTTAATACCAAGGTAATTCGCGTTATCAGTTTATATGATATAAAACTTCGAATCGAATAATAATTATAATGACAAATACTCCTATGTCGTTCGCCTTTTTCGCCCCCGGAGCGGGGCAGAAGGAAACAAGGGTAAATTCTAACATCATGTTTCCTATCTTCGTCATAAAAGGCCGGGGAAAGAAAGTAACGCGCAATCAGAGATCATTATAGGCTTCACTAGCACAGATAATTTGGAATGCCATGGAGACATATTTTAGAAATTAGACAATTTAGTTGAAAATCGAGTTTTTACAAAATTTCGTGATTTCAGTCTCCCACACAGCATCATTGTCCATTAAACCCATTCTACTATTTGAATAATTTCTCACATATTTAGAGTTCATATCAGCGTAATGACTTCTATGGGAAAGTTGCACGGTTTTTGTGGGTGGTGCGACAGATAATTTCAAATTCTAAGAAAAAACCGACACTGGGATAAAGTATTTTTTTTAAGCTTATAACGAAGAGAATACAGAACAGCAAAATCCAATGTTCCATCTTTGACATCGAAAGTGGATACAAAGTGATCGTACTAAACCTCCCTTCTCTTCCCTAATCGAAAAATACTTTGTAACTCTTACACATATCATAACACATATATATTAATAAAACTTTGTAATATTTACTTGCATGCCTAGAAGGGCGAAGATAACAATGAAGAGGAAGAGCAGCAACAGTAAACTTGCAATTGATTGGATGGAGTTGAGAAGACTTGCCACAAGATTGCTAAGACTTCGCCAGTATTTGGTCACCTTAAAAACACGCAAAAGGCGCACACACCGTAACACCGACACGCCTAGTGGTGGCATAATGTGCGTATTTGTAAGAACCATTTCACCAATGCTACCGATAACCACAAAACAGTCGAAACGATTAAAGAGGCTGACAAAATAGCCTTGGAAGCCGAGACTGTACATTTTAAGTATCATTTCCATAGTGAAAAGCGCAACAAAAAACATGTTTGTGACTTCCTGAAAGTCATCTAACCACGGCGGTTGTCGGTAATGCTCTGTTGCGAGTACGCCAGTGTTAAGAAATACTAGCACAATTATCAGCCAATAAAATGCCTGCGATTTTACTGCTTTACGGCACGCACGGCGAAGACGCCGGTTCACGCGTTCTAGATTCTTCTTTCGTGCGCGCCACCATGATTCCTGCTGCTCCAAGTTCTCGATGCCTAAATGCTCATTCGAGTCCGCTGGTGCTGCCTCACCAACTTTACCTGAAATGCATAATAAGAAAAGAAAATAAAACGTCATTATGCAATGTAAATATTCAGAAATTAAAGAATGGCATTCAAAACGGTAATTTTATTTTATTAATAGTGCTTTTGAGGACGTGTGACTCAGTATTACACGGTATTCCCACACCGAATGTGATGACTTCAATTCTCGACGACTGCAAATTTATTAGTCTGCCGACCTACACTTCCCTAACTCTCTCTCTGGATTCCTTCCATTCAGAATTTTTCTATCCAGGTTTAAAAAAAAAACCAAAAAATGTGAATGGTATATTAGCTAGGATATAAAAATTTCTCTCTTCCGTAACCAACTCGATTTAGTTTGAAGGAAAGAAAGCATGGAAATTTTCATATGCAATATAAAATCCAAGTCCTGAAAATCCAACAGTTATAACTCTGGTTCTATGGCTTTGAAAGAAAAGTTTGATCCCATTTTGGAAACGTCTCGATCTGGACTATCGCAATATGTAAAAAATGATCTCAAAGTAGTGTGACCTGCGAACAAAATTTTGTTATTGACATTAGCGCCTCAGGCGGTGGTCTGATGAACTTCTGTTTTTCCAAATAGTCGTAGAGTTTTGCAAGAGATTTCCAACGAGCCTTAAATAATTAAGATCGGATAAATAGAACCAAAGTTACAGCGCATTTCAAATAAAATTTGAAACCGTCGTAACTTCGGTTCTATTGCATCCACAAAAAACTACATATAACCTATTTTTAGAGACGTTCTGACCTGGACTATAATATACTAAAATTTAAAGAAAATTTATGATCTATTTGCCGAGATACAGGCGTTCGAAGGTTTTTCAATATGGCGACATTTGTTATGACGTCACAGACTAATGGTGAATATGGCCTACAAAAGAGTGTCGAGACACGTCTTTTGGTGAAGAGATGATCAAAATCGGTTGGTAAACAGCGGAGATATGGGTCGGTAAAGATGTGAACTTTGACCTTCCATATCTCCGCACCTAATGAATTGGGCCCTAAAAGTAACGGTTCAATGGAAAGGTCTCGACCTCAGCTACAACATATGTAAATTCAAAGAAAATTTATGATTTTGCTTTCGAGTTATTCGTCTTCGAAATTTCAAAAATGGTTTTTCCGACTTTAGCGCCTCTAACAGTGGTCCTACCAAGTTATGTTGCCCGTGTGGGAGATGGCATTTTACAAGACCATCCCATTGAATGCAAAATCATTCCGATCGGTTAATTAGAAGCGGAGCTATGGCCATTTTAATTTTTGAAATCTGAACTCTTATATCTAGGTTCCGAAAGGTCCTAGGTCTTTAAGTGGCGGTTCTTTGAAAAGTTCTTGATATCAGCTACATCATACCAGAATTTGAGCCCGATTCAAGCCATAGGGGCTGAACAATTGAGGAAAGTGTATTTTAAGGGTGTTCAAAATGGCGGACGGAGGGTTGGGGGGTTGGATTTGACAAAAAATCTTCATTACCACTACATACTTTTCAACTTTGCCGCAAACCGCACATCGATATCTCTTACCGTTTAGGCCCCACAAGCCCGTTTATCACGACGGACGGCTGGACGACCGGAACGACAATCAGACACGATAATCAAAAAAGTGTCCCCTCCCATTTTCGTCATATTTCCACATTTTACCGCTACCTGAGTCTATTGGAGTTGTTTTTGTGTAATACAATTTTTGCGCGATTACAGATATTAGCTATGATGAATATCCCAGCTTATAATATACAACACATACAAAATTTGATAAATAATAACACAATATAATATACTTTCAGACCGGAAAATGGAGTAAATATCCTCTGAAACGTAATATGAAAAAAAAAAACAAATAAAATAAAATTGGCCATTTCGTCTTTTTAGTCAAAATCTTACAACTGGCTGACAAACACACCAAGATCAAAAATAGTTCAAACACATAACACTCAGGCAAGTAAAGTTGTGCGAAAACAATGAATGGATTGGATTGTACGCTGAGTGGATTGCTTTACTAATGAGACAGATGAACATTCTTTGATATTTCACTCGTTTATTTTGACAAACAAGCTATTTTCTGAAGAATAAGCTATTTTTATAAAATTTATTAAATATGTAGATAATCCTGATCAAGTCGTTTCTAAAATGAGGATAAACTCTCATGTCAATGCTCGAGTTATGAGGGTTCAATTTTTTATATGATAATTTGAACACTATTTTGCAGTTTCACTACATTTCAAGAGAAAAGCAAAAGAAAATCTTAATTCAAATAATAATAACAAAGATATTTATTTATAGCGATTAAAGAGACTACCAAGGAGAAAAACTACAATAATACAGCAAACTCACCTTTGTGGGCACCATCAACATGAATCATGGCAGACTCCGCTTCAGGTTCAATGTCTTCAGCTTGCGTTATCCAGTCCAAATAACCCCTTAGGTCCTCCTCGATTTGTTGCTTCTCACGCAGTTTTTGAAAGTCACCGCGGTTTTTTGCTTTAGTTCTTTCTTTGGAAAACTCTCCGCTTAACACGCCTAGAATTAGATTCATAACAAAGAAGGCACCTAGAATGACCATACTGATGAAATAGATCCATTGCCAGCTATTTCCCATTGCGTCTTCAATGTCATAGAGCACATCCGTCCAACCTTCGAGCGTGACACACTGAAAGACGGTTAGCATGGCCAGGCCGAAATTGTCAAAGTTAGTAATGCCGAAATTGGGTCCTTCCCAATAGTAACGACATATGAGTCCAATACTTTCACACTGAAAACCGCCTTCGCCGCACGGATGAGGCTCGTCCATGGGTGAACCGGTGCTATTGTCGAAACAAGTTTTATGCATCTTGCCGCTGAACAATTCAAGGCCCACGATTGCGTAAATGATGATCACAAACAAAACGAGAAGCGCAATATGCAATAATGGAATCATAGCTCGTAAGATTGAATTCAGTACCACCTGGAGACCTACAAAAAAAAAACAAAATTAATCTGGAAATAGATGCACATTTATTGATTAAAAAAAAAAATGTATTTACATAATAGCTACTGCCTAACACTGCTCACGAAACCGAAAATCATTAAATTTCAATATTAAGTATGGGAGGTTGTAACGTATGTTTAGTAGATGTAAAATTGTAAATTTCATTATATTGTTGTCCGTCATAAAATAAGAGCTTCTAACGGTATGATACCCAAATGTGGTTATGCTTCTATGTCAATGCCATAGAACTCGATTTATGATGGTTTGAATTTTTCATATAAAACTTTTTAATATTGCAATGAAATCGATTTCTGCATCTTACTCTATAATATAAACTTGAGTGTATTCGCAAGGTTTAGATATGGCTGAGATATAGCGTTTGCACCTTATTTCTATTATATATCCTTTCAAAGTTATTTATATAAATTATATGTGTGTGTGTGTGTCTAACAATACACAAGGCTATATATATATATACACAAAGTACCTCCGAAAAATATTAGATATCATTGGAATGAACGATGGCTATGAATAATTGATACATAAAATTAATTGCGGAACGTACCAAATACTGCGTCATTTTGTACTAAATAACTTGTACTGCTTTGTACAAATTTTTATTACCTCACTGTGTATTACTTCTATGGGTATCCGAATGTACATAAATTTCTCTGTATGTATGGGTGTCATTCAGTTATTGACTTGTAATAATATATTAGATACCACACAGTAAATTTTTTTGTATGAAATTATATCTATACTTTACTCACTAGGCACTCCAGAGACGAGTCGCAGTGGCCTGAGAACACGAAAAGCTCTCAAAGCTTTCACATCAAAGCCCTCTTTCATGAGATTCGACAATGCTGTGCTGATCATACCAATCACAACTATTGTGAAATCAAGTAAGTTCCAGCCATTGCGTAAATATGCTCCCGAATGTAGTACGAAACCATATGCTACAACTTTCATCACACACTCAGCAGTAAAGATAACGAGAAAAATGTACTCTATTTTTTCGAGAGCGGCGTTTGTTGTGTTGCTGTCGCTGTTAGGATATGGTGTATATACAGCTAGAGCTACACAATTGGCGAAAATTGTCAAAAGAATGAGATATTCAAAGGGTTTCCACTCCACCACGTCAATACACAATTTTCGGATAGGATTTTTTAAACCTAAGCAGAAGAGCGCTCTGACTGGTCGATCCGGTGGAGGTTTTCCACTCCGTCTTATTGGACGCTTTGGTACTCCCTGTGACAAAAATTCAATTATTTAAGAAAAAAAAATTAAATAAAATACACATACCTTGGGCGCGCTTGTGACACCCTCCTCACTTGTCATCGCAGGTGCATCGGCCTCCATGCTCACAGCTGTTGTCATTGCTGTGGTAACACTAAGCGTAGTCTGCCATACACTAAACACCTCGTTTGATATCCGGCGATGAGATAATTGTTTCCTAAGAAGTAGTGGTAACACTGACCTATTTTTGAACAATCTGGAGGTCACCTGGAAGAACATAAGAAGGTTTGCAAAGCTCCATCAACTTGTTACGCACGAAAAATTAACCAACAACATGCAAAATTTCATGCACTTCACGCTGTCACTTGAACACATGCGCAAAAAGGAGCCTGTCAGGATACATACCTTTACATATGTTCACCCGTTATTCATTCAAGTAACAACGCGATCTTGCTATTATTAGATAGTGACAGCGCCTCGATCGACCGATTCTGTCACTAGCGTCATCTACATAACCTAATTGAATTGACAGCGTCGCGATTGTCACCCAGACATTACAGTTATGTGTCTTGCGTATTCATGCCACTTAGATATGCACAAAAAATTTCCGATGAATAAATAAAAATAAAACATGTGAAACACGAATTTTTGCTTCGTTGTATCTGGACAAATAGATGAAAACCCACTTTTACATTTTCTCATAAGTTTCAACGACTGTAAATACTCCTAGGAAATGCATACAGTTCGGCAGAAAACAGGCAAAAACAAAAATGTTCTGACCTTCAAATTTGCTTCCGAATATTCCATATCTTAATTTCTTTTTTGGCTGCTAAGGCTACATAACGTTTTTACAGGTTTTCTCTTTTTTCCGCGCGGGATGTTCGCTGTGTCCCACATCTTTGGAATAAAAGTTTCTAATGGGGAAAACACAGCATTTTGTTCAGTCTTCAACTTATTTTTCAGTACGCAATTTTGACAGCAATCCTCTTGTTCGACTTATCAAACTAAAGTTCAGCACGAGTTGTTCAAAGTACTTGCGCGAGTCACACAGGTCGCCCAAAGAAAATCTACAGAGTCACACTCGGCATAGTGTGTCGTGCCAGTACAAAGTAAAATACATGATACGCGTGATGAAGAATGAGATGATAAATCCGACTAATCCAACCTGACCAGAAGTTATTACGCTGATATAAACTCTAAATATGTGAGAAATTATTCAAATAGTAGAATGGGTTTAATGGACAATGATGCTGTGTGGGAGACTGAAATCACGAAATTTTGTAAAAACTCGATTTTCAACTAAATTGTCTAATTTCTAAAATATGTCTCCATGGCATTCCAAATTATCTGTGCTTGTGAAGCCTATAATGATCTCTGATTGCGCGTTACTTTCTTTCCCCGGCCTTTTATGACGAAGATAGGAAACATGATGTTAGAATTTACCCTTGTTTTCTTCTGCTTCGCTCTCTCCTACTTTAAACTGATGTGCTGCCTTTATCTTGTATTTCACATCTAATTGCTGAGTTGATTTCGAAATCAATGATGCTAGTGAATTGATAAAGTAGATTTTCTATGTTGAATGAGATTAATAATATTTAAAGCATTGTTTTTTATAGCAAATCATTTATTTAATATAGTCATAGTTTCTTTTCATATAATAATATAATTTTTCTGTTTGCTCTAAACCTCTAAAATTATTTTCATTCATTTTAGATATATATCGTAATTATTTTCATAGTTCTTTTTAGTTATCTCTTTCTCTCTCTCCCTCACTCTCTGTTGTGTTTTGATACCTAAAATAAATGTATACTATTTTTTGGTAAGATTATTTTTTGAAGTAGCTATATTTATGTTCTACAGTTCTTTGTTTATCTCTTCACAATAAATAGATTATTCTCTTTATGTCTTTCACTTTCAATGTTATATATTCTAATTTTACTAATACATGTTATTTTTTAAACTCTTTACCATACGAATTATCATTCAACGGTTATTTATGATTAGGTTACGTGCCCTTACTGTCTAATTGTATGTCACGTTTCTCTTTTGCTTCATGATTATAAATGTTTTTAACGTTTCTAGCTACCGCGTATCAGTCAAATAAGAAGTCTTTTACTTTTGAACTTCCATTTACTGTAAATTTACAGAACGTATCTGTGTATGATTATTGTTTTTTTTCAACTTTTTTGTTTTCCATTTTTTTAAACCTTATCTTTACAATCCTATTGTTACGAAATATTTTCTGATTTTTTTTTCTTATGAAACATTTGGAAGCACAAATCGATGGTAATCGATTTTCTTCCTAATTATTATTAAATTAATTTTTTTACTTGAGACTCGGCCAGTCTTCAGGCATTTGGCAAATGCCTAAGTTCACAACCTCACACTTCAAAAAAATTTGTGGTTAATAATTAATATAGATTTCGAGACAAATCGTTTCTATTTTTCTGTCTCAAGAGAATCATTTTATATCATTTTTACTCTTCCATTTTTCACACTATTACATATATACAGATCCTTTTTTATTTCATATGCCCTTTTAATTTCGCTCAATTTTAGTTTAAACTAAGAGAATTTGAAAGAATCGAAATATTTACTTGTATGTACTTACAAATCTACTGGGATGTGTTTTTCTTTTTTTGGCGAATTTCTTGAAAATTATTATACATTAGCACATTTATGTGTGTATAAAAATCAATTATTAAATCTCAATTCTACGTATATTTCATAATAGACTATAACAAAAGAAATATATATATATATATATATGTATTTAAAAAAATAAACAAGCAGAAATTAACAATTTTCATCTCTTCGTCTTGGTATTATAAATAATCTCTCTGCTTTTTTCATAATGTATAATTCGATTTTTTACTTGACTCTATATCTTTTAGAAAACGGTTTTTTTAGTTTTTCTTATACAGCATGATATATTTTATTCATTCGACATTAATTTCATTTTCATCATGGAGAAAATGTTGATGGAAGAGTTAGGTTTTACTCTCAAACTTTCGTGGATAATTTAAAATGTACCTAGCTTAATTTGAAACTAATATTATGTACCTAAGTATGAATATAAATTTGAATTCACTAAACATATTTTGAACACAATTTTGGGATTATAATTATTTGAAAAGTAATTGGTTTAATACTTATGTAAACACAAATTGGGCCACTCTTAAAGTATAGAATTGGAGGAAGATTGCGAACAAAAGTCTTTAAGTTCTTAGAAATTCTCATATAAATAAAGAATATATTCAATTAAAATTCAAATTTGTGTTTATTTCTTATTGCTTCATTTAGCACAATCCCCTCTTACAATTTATCTAGCAGCTCAAGAAATTTAATAGTCAATATTAGGGATTCTAAATATTTTGATGATTAGTCTAAGAAACTTTTTAGATGTCCCCAACGGTATCGCGCGCAAAATGTAACCGCCCACATTAAGAGTCAATATAAAAACTTCGACGCTTGCATATGTTAAAACGAGAGAAAACTGCATCCCACGAACATGTCACTGTTGGAAGAAATGTGACCACGGGGACAAAGTCTACAGACGTAACTGACACAATTTTTAAAAGGTACAGTTAGCCAGAAACTTAAGAAATGCTTATTTTTGAAAGTTTAGTAAAATTACATTTGCGTATTTGAAATATTTTTTTTTATTTTCCTGCATCGACAGTTTTTCTCACTTCTAGAACAACAAATTTAAGAGCAGATATTACTGTGCTATTATTTGAATTTAAATTGAAAAATTTTATTTTAAAACCATTGTAATCTACAAGTGAGAGTCACAATATGTTCTGACGGCGCAACACGCCATTTATGGACAAATATTTCAACCAAAAATTTGAGAAGACCCGCTGCAAAATATGAAATGCCGACACAAAATTTAATATAAAATTTTTTCGCAAAAGTAGAGATTTTATTTTTTTTGTGTTTTTTAATAGTATTTTAGTTCATTTCTTTAAAAAAGGTGTTTAGAAATGGATTCAGAAATAGATAAAAAAAAATGTTGTAGATTTTCCAATAATTAACTTATTTAATATTTTTAATAATTTTTGCAAAAGATTGGAAAACACAGCTCAGAAATTTGGTATTAAAAAAAGTAAAAAATCGGAAATCATTAACTAAAATCGATTATTTTACCAAACACCAGTTTAAGTTTAATTTTATTATGCATAAGTTTTTTTGGATATGACTGGCATATGGCTCCTTTACCGCAAAAGTGTCCAGTATTAATATATATATATATATATATATATTATATATATATATATATATATATATATATATATATATTATTTATATTTATATATGCGTGTGTGCGTGGGTTGGTCGGTAAGTGGGTGGGTGGGTGTGTTTTGCGTTCCAACACATAATTCGGATTCACGACAATATTGTCAGACTCCTTCACACCACCAGCCTTGGAGTGTATGTAAGTTCTGTTGAACTGAGTCATGCAATTAATATACAACCGGTGGAAGGACTTTTCGATCGTTTTGCTCTGGAAGTTAGTTATCAGCGTTAAGACAGCGACGGACGCAGAATACAAGGTAGTGTCTATAGAGTATGCTGAGTGGATCAGCTTCGGCAGTGGCTGTTCATTGCTTTTATCACAGCTTTTCTGCAATCTTCTCCCATGAATTTCTTTCCACAATCGTGTGTTTAGACAATAACTCTCTATAAAGAAAACTTCCTTTATACCTCCAGTACAAGTTTCTCCCAGTATCTCTGGGAGAAACGCCTCCGCCGCTTTCTCTGTCCCTGTGCTACTGCATTTAAAACCAGGTAATATCTCTGAGGATCGAGTACTCTTAGATTACGGTCAGTGGTCGAGAAGAACCGCTGAGTGCACTTCGTGAATTATCTCCCAACCAACGTGGGTCGAGAGTAGGTAGAGAATAAGAGAATTACCAGTAAACATTGTCCGCGATGTCTGACGGTTCTTTACACAGCGCGAGATAATTAGACAGTCTCTATCTTTTTCACCACCATTCCGCATAATCACCCCCACAGACCACAACTATACCACCACTCGACCAATAGGATGCGATTATACGGTGTGTACTACAAAAGGATCGTAATAGTGTAGCGTAAGAATCGAAACTGAGATTTAACAAAGTCCTTTGTGGAAGTCATAACTCAATTCTTCACTGCTGCGACACAGTTTTCAGAGTCGACGATGCTCAAATTGACAATTGTGTGGGATAAAAAAGTAATAATAATGATAATGAATTAGACCTATGCCCTATCTCATAAAAAAAAACGACTTAGCGGCTCGGGGTATTTACAGCATAAAATTTTCTTGTATGATAATAATAGTAGATTATTATAAAAAAAACAGTAATAAAAATTATTATGAGAAATAATAGTAATAATAGCGCGACCTAAATGTTACAGTAAGTAACTGTATTTGTTAAAGGGAGCGATCTATATAGATTCCTTTATTCAATTCCTTTATATTCTCCATATTACGTGTCGAAACTTTTATATTCCTTGCCTGCGGCAGGGATTTTGCACATCAATCATCACTACATTCTGTTTCACTCGGTATGATTTTATTAAATGCTTTATATATTCACTATTTACCAAACCTTTCAATTTCAGGTAATATACTGATACTGGCTGCAAGAAAACGTAGATCCGATCGACGTACAAAAATCTTGGCAGTAAGGAACTTGGTGTATGACCAACTTATACTCATCAACGATCAATCCCTTGGTCACGGAAAATAAAGTTACGAAAACATAATACGGAGAAAAAACTCTAGAGTTTTTTTTGTCAATTGTAACTAATAATGAAACTCTAGAAACTTATTATCTTACGGCTTTCCGAGTCTACTTTGATGATTAAACTTTAAAGCTTCTTCTAATAAAATACGAAAAAAAAACTCTAAAACGTGTTCTGTACATAAAATTATTCATACTTTACTTCTGAGAAACCCGAATAATAACAACAACAACAACAACAAAAATAATAATAATAATAATAATAATATGTACAAAATAATTAATAATCATAAAAATATTTATATTAATAATAGTCAGATTCTGCATAATCATATATAATTAGTAAG